CTCAGATGGAGCAAGAGACGTCAAACAAAAAGGCTATACAACCGCTGCTTCGGTCAGGCACCGCGATCGAATACTGAGCTGATTCAGAGCGGGAGCACCTGACTCTCTGTTTTTGTGGCCGGTATGGCAAGGAAGCAGCTCACTGGAACTCAGAGCTCAAAGGGCGGCACACCCTCGGAGGGTTGCTGCGACCTGAAAGGACTAGCAGGCTGAATTAAGATGTCATGAGATACTTCAAGTGATTTCAAGATATTTCAAGCTATTTCAAGTGTCTGGTTTGGAGGTTCAGTCTGGGTTCAATTTCGTTCAGCATCCGCCAAACAATACAAAACTACTAATCATACTAATTTTACTAATGCAGCTGAGGGGCTGTTCCAAAAGCATTATCAACTCTGTCTTCTCTGCCACGCCCTTCCAGTCGGTGCCCAATGCGTCTAGTCGGGCCTTCCCACACCAAGCATGCTTCAGATATCCAAGTTGACATCAAAAACACATCAAGCATCTTCGAAACTTAATCAAATGAAAAGGAAGATGGCACGGTGACAAAACATGATGAACTGGCCTTCAGTTCCTTGACCGGTAGTTGCCACAAGTCCGAGTGGTGAGCATGATCCCGGGCCTGGAGGCCACAAATCATCAACATCTTCAAAATCCACAGCGCCCCAAAGTATCCCAAAGCTTGCAACTTGCAACGCAATAAGAACTTGCAGACCAACAAAAAGTTGGCAAAGAGAACGTATGAAAGAAACAAAATGCTTGAAAAAAAACAGCCAAAACATCGGCAAGCTGTGCCTCTGGAGAGGTACTTGGTCCAAAGTCTGGGGATGAAGCTGCTGTGGATGCTGGCGAAGTGCACCTTGAAACCATATGCACCAATACCGAACTGATGCAAGGAACGCAAAAGAGTGGTGAGATCGGATGATATTTGTTCTCCGGCCGAAGTGGTATCGATTGTTTGAGGATGTTCTAGGTACTGCCAATTCCTGTTGTCTGACCGCCGGGCCTCTTGAGAGGAGGCTCCACCTCCTTCATTTCAGACACGTTGTACAATGTTGTATAAATGCATGCAAACGAATCCAACCGGATTGGATTATTAAGCAAAAGCGGTGGTTGCTTGAGCCCCTGTTGCATGGCGCGATTGTTCTGACTCAAACAAGACATTCATCCACACACTTGCAGTCTCTGACTCTCTCTGACTGTCTTGGGCAGTCCTGGCCATCAACGTCGGCAGCTCGCTTCACCATAGCTCTCTTGCTGGGTGAATCCGGGTGGGCACCAGCTAATGTGGCAGTTCGCAAGGACTGATCTGAAAAACTCTGAAGAGGACCAAGTGATGAGGAAACAAGCTTGGACCATTAATTATCAGACAACACATCAAACAAAACGTCAACAAGCACCAGGACACCATACAAAGCCTAGCAAACCCTCAAACTGCGTAAAACCCATTCAAATCAGGCAGCAGGCCCCCTTCGATTGCTTTCTGCCGTTGCCGCTTGGTGCTAACTCTCCCGCTGTTGCACATTGAAAGCGTGGGCCTTGCGGTTGAAAATGTGCTAGCGCAAAGCATACGACATAGGGCGTGCCCACAGAGATCTGTACATCCTGTCTTTCGGCCCTGGGTGTTTTGAAACACGCTAGGGCCACGCAATCTAACTAGGACATCTAGCTCCGATGTATTTTTTCTGTGGCTCAGATGGAGCAAGAGACGTCAAACAAAAATGCTATACACAGCTGCTTCGGTCAGGCACCGCGATCGAATACTGAGCTGATTCAGAGCGGGAGCACCTGACTCTCTGTTTTTGTGGCCGGTATGGCAAGGAAGCAGCTCACTGGAACTCAGAGCTCGAAGGGCGGCACACCCTCGGAGGGTTGCTGCGACCTGAAAGGACTAGCAGGCTGAATTAAGATGTCATGAGATACTTCAAGTGATTTCAAGATATTTCAAGCTATTTCAAGTGTCTGGCTTGGAGGTTCAGTCTGGGTTCAATTTCGTTCAGCATCCACCAAACAATACAAAACCACTAATCATACTAATTTTACTAATGCAGCTGAGGGGCTGTTCCAAAAGCATTATCAACTCTGTCTTCTCTGCCACGCCCTTCCAGTCGGTGCCCAATGCGTCTAGTCGGGCCTTCCCACACCAAGCATGCTTCAAATATCGAAATTGATATCACACATACATCATGAATTGAGCATATGAAAAGGACAAAAAATGGCACGATGACAAAACCTGACGAACTGGCCTTCAGTTCCTTGACCGGTAGTTGCCACAAGTCCGAGTGGTGAGCATGATCCCGGGCCTGAAGGCCACGAATCATCAAAATCCAAAGCATCCCAAAGCTTGCAATGCAACAAGAACTTGGACAGCCCAGGCTCCCAGACCAACAAAAAGTCGGCAAACAATGAAAAACGTATGTATGTTTAAAGAAAGACATCAGCCAAAACATCGGCAAGCTGTGCCTCTGGAGAGGTACTTGGTCCAAAGTCTGGGGATGAAGCTGCTGTGGATGCTGGCGAAGTGCACCTTGAAACCATATGCACCAATACCGAACTGATGCAAGGAACGCAAAAGAGTGGTGAGATCGGATGATATTTGTTCTCCGGCCGAAGTGGTATCGATTGTTTGAGGATGTTCTAGGTACTGCCAATTCCTGTTGTCTGACCGCCGGGCCTCTTGAGAGGAGGCTCCACCTCCTTCATTTCAGACACGTTGTACAATGTTGTATAAATGCATGCAAACGAATCCAACCGGATTGGATTATTAAGCAAAAGCGGTGGTTGCTTGAGCCCCTGTTGCATGGCGCGATTGTTCTGACTCAAACAAGACATTCATCCACACACTTGCAGTCTCTGACTCTCTCTGACTGTCTTGGGCAGTCCTGGCCATCAACGTCGGCAGCTCGCTTCACCATAGCTCTCTTGCTGGGTGAATCCGGGTGGGCACCAGCTAATGTGGCAGTTCGCAAGGACTGATCTGAAAAACTCTGAAGAGGACCAAGTGATGAGGAAACAAGCTTGGACCATTAATTATCAGACAACACATCAAACAAAACGTCAACAAGCACCAGGACACCATACAAAGCCTAGCAAACCCTCAAACTGCGTAAAACCCATTCAAATCAGGCAGCAGGCCCCCTTCGATTGCTTTCTGCCGTTGCCGCTTGGTGCTAACTCTCCCGCTGTTGCACATTGAAAGCGTGGGCCTTGCGGTTGAAAATGTGCTAGCGCAAAGCATACGACATAGGGCGTGCCCACAGAGATCTGTACATCCTGTCTTTCGGCCCTGGGTGTTTTGAAACACGCTAGGGCCACGCAATCTAACTAGGACATCTAGCTCCGATGTATTTTTTCTGTGGCTCAGATGGAGCAAGAGACGTCAAACAAAAATGCTATACAACCACAGCTGCTTCGGTCTGGCACCGCGATCGAATACTGAGCTGATTCGGAACGCCACTGCCTGACTGTCTGTCTTGCTGGCCATATTGGCCAAGAAGCAGCTCACTGGAACTCAGAGCTCAAAGCGCGGCACACCCTCGGAGGGTTGCAACCCGCTTGGCAACTTTTACGCGTCTACAGGACCAAATACCTTAGACAGCTGCGAGGCGTACGGCGCAAGGTGAACTTGCCACATGCATCTCATCATGTCGCAGGTCATCAGTGACAATGTCCAACCATGGAAAACCCGGACAGTGAATTCCTCTGGGTTTGCGGGTTGCTCTCCAAAAAAGTGACGAGGTGCAATCAATAAATTTTGGAACCCCCTTGTGAATAAACTATACTAAAGTATACTAAAGTGGGGGTTAACATTGCCAGTCTTCCACAGCTGAAAGGCTCTTCCAACAGCATGATCAGTTCTGTCTTCTCGGTCACGCCGCGCAAGTCAGTCCCCAATGCAGTCAGTCGGGCCTCGACCCAGCGGGTCTGTTGGGCCAGTTGTACGACTCCCTGCCCTGCCGAAGTACACCCTCTACTGTTAAGATCTGTTAAGTGGGATTCTGGCAGTTGCTGTTATCGAATCCAACTGTTCCACCTCGTAAGCACTATACTTCTCTTGCCCGGTCTTCAGAATTCCTGGTCTTTCCACACGATGCCCAGCGACACCTTCACGTGGCCCCCTCGGGCAGCAAACTGCCCCACCCGGCCCAGTGCCTTCAATTCCTTCACGGGAAGCTGCCACAAATCGGAGTGGTGAGCGTGATCCCTTGCCTGAATCAACCAAGCGTGGTTGGATCATGGAAATGTATTGGTATACGTGCACATTTGACTATTTCCATACACATGTTCAAAATACATGCGTACATATAAACAAACAAAAGCGTACATATATGTGTGTGCAATCATATCTCAGTGATCAATATGAATATAGATATATAAACAAGTAAGAAAGTAACTATGAATAAAGATCATATAAGTAAATAAGTAAATACACAAATCCGCCGACCCGGCCTTCGCCAAGGTAGGGGCGGCGCCTGGGACCACCGGAGGTGTGGAACCTGCTTTGTCCCGGCCATGGCCTTCACATTGTCCAAGGTCGTTCTTGCAACAAGTGCTTGTCTGTGGAAAAGCGGTTTGCCAAGCTTCGAAGGCCTCATTTGCCTGCACCTAGCCCTCTCTTGTTAGGGCATTCCAGCCTGCCGTTTGCCAGGCTTCAAACGCTTAAAACCCTTAAAACCCTCCAACTCCCTCGCGGCAGCTTCCACCAAGCCCTCTGGCCGTCAGCTTTTGAAGCCCTCTGGCCGTCAGCTTTTGCTGTTCCAGCATTGCAGCCTGCCCTTTGCCTGCACATAGCTCTGTTGTTGGAGCATTCAAGCCTCAGCTGCCACCAAGCCCTCTGGCCGTCAGCCTTTGCTGTTCCAGGGTTGCAGCCTGCCCTTTGGCTGCACATCCCTCGCGGCAGCTTCCACCAAGCTCCTGGCCCTCAGCGTTCCAGCATTGCAGCCTGCCCTTTGCCTGCACATAGCCCTCTCTTGTTAGGACATTCAAGCCTGCCGTTTGCCAGGCTTCAAACCCTTAAAACGCTTAAAACCCTGCAATTCCCTCGCGGCAGCTTCCACCAAGCCCTCTGGCCGTCAGCCTTTGCTGCATTTGCCTGCACATAGCCCTCTCTTGTTAGGGCATTCAAGCCTGCCGTTTGCCAGGCTTCAAACCCTTAAAACCCTTAAAACCCTCCAATTCCCTCGCGGCAGCTTCCACCAAGCCCTCTGGCTGTCAGCCTTTGCTGCATTTGCCTGCACATAGCCCTTTCTTGTTCCCTTAAAACCCTTAAAACGCTTAAAACCCTCCAATTCCCTCGCAGCAGCTTCCACCAAGCCCTCTGGCCGTCAGCCTTTGCTGCATTTGCCTGCACATAGCCCTCTCTTGTTAAGGCATTCAAGCCTGCCGTTTGCCAGGCTTCAAACGCTTAAAACCCTTCAAACGCTTAAAACCCTCCAATTCCCTCGCGGCAGCTTCCACCAAGCACTCTGGCCGTCAGCTTTTGCTGTTCCAGCATTGCAGCCTGCCCTTTGCCTGCACATAGCGCTCCGTTGTTGGGGCATTCAAGCCTCAGCTGCCACCGAGCCCTCTGGCCGTCAGCCTTTGCTGTTCCAGGGTTGCAGCCTTCCCTTTGGCTGCACATCCCTCACAGCAGCTTCCACCAAGCCCTCTGGCCGTCAGCTTTTGCTGTTCCAGCATTGCAGCCTGCCCTTTGCCTGCACATAGCCCTCTCTTGTTAGGGCATTCAAGCCTGCCGTTTGCCAGGCTTCAAACCCTTAAAACGCTTAAAACCCTGCAATTCCCTCGCGGCAGCTTCCACCAAGCCCTCTGGCCGTCAGCCTCTGCTGCATTTGCCTGCACATAGCCCTCTCTTGTTGGGGGATTCAAGCCTGCCGTTTGCCAGGCTTCAAACCCTTAAAACCCTTAAAACGCTTAAAACCCTCCAATTCCCTCGCAGCAGCTTCCACCAAGCCCTCTGGCCATCAGCCTTTGCTGCATTTGCCTGCACATAGCCCTCTCTTGTTAAGGCATTCAAGCCTGCCGTTTGCCAGGCTTCAAACGCTTAAAACCCTTAAAACGCTTAAAACTCTCCAATTCCATCGCGGCAGCTTCCACCAAGCCCTCTGGCCGTCAGCTTTTGCTGTTCCAGCATTGCAGCCTGGCCTTTGCCTGCACATAGCGCTCTGTTGTTGGGGCATTCAAGCCTCAGCTGCCACCAAGCCCTCTGGCCGTCAGCCTTTGCTGTTCCAGGGTTGCAGCCTGCCCTTTGGCTGCACATCCCTCGCGGCAGCTTCCACCAAGCTCCTGGCCCTCAGCGTTCCAGCATTGCAGCCTGCCCTTTGCCTGCACATAGCCCTCTCTTGTTAGGGCATTCAAGCCTGCCGTTTGCCAGGCTTCAAACCCTTAAAACGCTTAAAACCCTGCAATTCCCTCGCGGCAGCTTCCACCAAGCCCTCTGGCCGTCAGCCTCTGCTGCATTTGCCTGCACATAGCCCTCTCTTGTTGGGGGATTCAAGCCTGCCGTTTGCCAGGCTTCAAACCCTTAAAACGCTTAAAACCCTCCAATTCCCTCGCGGCAGCTTCCACCAAGCCCTCTGGCCGTCAGCCTTTGCTGCATTTGCCTGCACATAGCCCTCTCTTGTTAGGGCATTCAAGCCTGCCGCTTGCCAGGCTTCAAACCCTTAAAGTGCTTAAAACGCTTAAAACCCTCCAATTCCCTCGCGGCAGCTTCCACCAAGCCCTCTGGTCGTCAGCCTTTGCTGCATTTGCCTGCGCATAGCCCTCTCTTGTTAGGGCATTCAAGCCTGCCGTTTGCCAGGCTTCAAACCCTTAAAACGCTTAAAACCCTCCAATTCCCTCGCGGAGCTTCCACCAAGCCCTCTGGCCGTCAGCCTTTGCTGCATTTGCCTGCGCATAGCCCTCTCTTGTTCCCTTAAAACGCTTAAAACCCTCCAATTCCCTCGCGGCAGCTTCCACCAAGCCCTCTGGCCGTCAGCCTTTGCTGCATTTGCCTGCACATAGCCCTCTCTTGTTAAGGCATTCAAGCCTGCCGTTTGCCAGGCTTCAAACGCTTAAAACCCTTAAAACGCTTAAAACCCTCCAATTCCCTCGCGGCAGCTTCCACCAAGCCCTCTGGCCGTCAGCTTTTGCTGTTCCAGCACTGCCATTTGGCTGCACATCCCTCGCGGCAGCTTCCACCAAGCTCCTGGCCCTCAGCGTTCCAGCATTGCAGCCTGTCCTTTGCCGGCACATAGCCCTCTTTTGTTAAGGCATTCAAGCCTGCCGTTTGCCAGGCTTCAAACCCTTAAAACGCTTAAAACTTTCCAATTCCCTCGCGGCAGCTTCCACCAAGCCCTCTGGCCGTCAGCCTTTGCTGCATTTGCCTGCACATAGACCCCTCTCTTGTTAAGGCATTCAAGCCTGCCGTTTGCCAGGCTTCAAACCCTTAAAACGCTTAAAACCCTCCAATTCCCTCGCGGCAGCTTCCACCAAGCCCTCTGGCCGTCAGCCTTTGCTGCATTTGCCTGCACATAGCCCTCTCTTGTTCCCTTAAAACCCTTAAAACGCTTAAAACCCTCCAATTCCCTCGCGGCAGCTTCCACCAAGCCCTCTGGCCGTCAGCCTTTGCTACATTTGCCTGCACATAGCCCTCTCTTGTTAGCCGTTTGCCAGGCTTCAAACGCTTAAAATCCTTAAAACGCTTAAAACCCTCCAATTCCCTCGCGGCAGCTTCCACCAAGCCCTCTGGCCGTCAGCTTTTGCTGTTCCAGCATTGCAGCCTGCCCTTTGCCTGCACATAGCCCTCTCTTGTTAAGGCATTCAAGCCTGCCGTCTGCCAGGCTTCAAACGCTTAAAACTCTTAAAGCCCTCCAAAAACCTCGCACCACCTGCCACCAAGCCCCTTCAAACGCTCAAAACCCTTAAAACCCTCCAAATGCTGCACTGCTTCTCGCGGCAGCTGCCACCAAGCCCTCTGGCCGTCAGCTTTTGCTGTTCCAGCATTGCAGCCTGCCCTTTGCGTGTACATAGCCTTCTCCAAGCCTTCAAATCGTTAAAACCTTCAAAATCTCTCGCGGCAGCTTCCACCAGGCACTCTGGCCGCAGGCATTTGTTGTTGGAACGTTGAAGCCCGCCGTTTGCTTCCATCTGAAATGGCGTTTTTTGATGGCGTGGTGCGACCCAAAATGGCTGCAGCTTGGCCCCTGAAACATCGTGCTACCCAGCCGGTCTTTAAGAGTACTGCCTTCTATCTATCTATCTAATCTAATCTAATCTAATCTAATCTATCTAATCTATCTATCTATCTATCGATCGATCGATCAATCGATCTATCTATCTTTCTCTATCTCTCTCTCTCTCTCCCTCCCTCTCTCTACAGGATCCCCCAAATAGGTGGGGTCGGCGGCACCAGGGCGCTAGCCCATTCTATAAATAACACATAAATCTACATATCTATGTATACATATGATTAATTATTAACATTATATGCAACATGTGCAGTGATTCCTGGTGTATGCAATCTTTCTTTCGGCCTCCGGGGAGGTACTTGGTCCAAAGTCGGGGGAAGCTGGAGCAGTGCTTGGAGAAGTGCCCCTCTTGAGAGGAGGCTCCACATCCTTTGCCCAGGCTGGGGCCCGGGGTTTCTGCTTGGTGGTTTTTGTGCCCCAAAAAGCTGGTCAATTAGGTCATCATCATCCCACACATGATCAAGAATAGAAAATACATGCATTTATATAGTTAGACATGTAGCATAACATGTTTGAGACTACCAAGCAGGCTTCAAAACTACTAGGATCATATAGGATCTATATAATGGGCAGATGGAAGATCGATGCCCCACAGTCACCATTCAAATTGCTGGTTTTCCATGCAGTCCTGGCCATCAACGTTGGCAGCTCGCTTCACCATAGCTCTCTTGCTGGGTCCGGGTAGGCACGAGCTACTGTGGCAGTTCGCAAGGACTGATCTGCAAAACTCTTTCGGCGAGATCCCCTGACAAGGAAATCATGCAAACACCTCCAAGGCTTGAGGACCAGCATCGCACTTTTTCCCTTGTAACTTGTAACTTGCCCCTAGCAGCCCCAGCACATATTACCACCAATATGTCTTAAGTGTGATGCGAATGTCCGGAGACGTTTCCTGACAGCACCAAACATCACTCAGCATCAGAAAAATATAGCAAACCTATGCAAACCTCAAGTTTCCATCATACATTCACCCTAGCAAACCATAACAAACCCTCAAACCGCGTAAAACCCATTCAAATCAGGCAGCAGGCCCCCTTTGATTTCTGTCTGCCGTTGCCGCTTGGTGCTAACTCTCCCGCAGTTGCACATTGAAAGCGTGGGCCTTGCGGTTGAAAATGTGCTAGCGCAAAGCATACGACATAGGGCGTGCCCACAGAGATCTGTACATCCTGTCTTTCGGCCCTGGGTGTTTTGAAACACGCTAGGGCCACGCAATCTAACTAGGACATCTAGCTCCGATGTATTTTTTCTGTTGCTGAAGCAGAGCAAGACATGCCCAACAAAAATTCTATACAACCACAGCTGCTTCGGTCAGGCACCGCGCTCGAGTAGGGAGCTGCTTGGGAGCGCTACTGCTTGACTGTCTGTCTTACTGGCCATGTCGGCCAGGAAGCAGCTTGCTGGAACTCAGAGCTCGAAGGGCGGCACACCCTCGGAGGGTGGCTGCAACCTACAAAGCCGGAACAGCAGCCGGGTTGGTCTGACAGTGATGGGTAGCTACTATTAGCTACTAACCATAACGACTTAAAAACCATAAAACAGAAAGGCCGGGGGATACCAGGATTTTCAACGGCATATCACTTCGGAAAAGGGCCGTCATCTCTTCAAAGTCATCATCTACTTTTAGGGTTCCCTTTCTCCAACCTGGGCCCCCTGGGCCCCCTGGGTCCCCTGGGTCCCCTGGGTGCAGCTGTAGAGCTGCTCCAAAAGCATAATCAACTCTGTCTTCTCTGTCACCCCCTTCAAATCGCTGCCCAATGCAGTCAGTTTGGCCTGGTGCCATTGGACATATTGGAACAGGTCTCGAAATATCCAAGTTTCCATGTGCGCAATGGATGTTCTGTGAGTGAAAGTAGCAGTGAAATGGGTGATCTCCAGAACGGAGATTTTTGAAACAGAAGCAGTCGAAACCAGCAGGATGCGGGACGTAACATTCTGATCCGTCCCCTCATCACCATCCCCAAATCAGTCCAGTCCATGACGGGGTGTTCCCTGGATGGGCCAAGCAGCGGCCTTAAGCTCTTTGACTGGAAGTTGCCACAAACTGGAGTGATGTGCATGATCTCTGGCCTACCAAAGCTACGCCGCAAGTTGTGATCCAACTGTGTCTGGATCTGAATGCTCTAACACACTGGCTGGCTCCGATTGACTATTGCACTTATATAAATCCAATTGAGTAATGTTTTGTGATAATATCGCTTGCAGCCCCCCAAAAACATAATAAAGTAACAGTCCCATTAAAAATGACGGTATCTTGAACCTTTTCTATATAATCTTCAGGGTTCCTATCTGCTTCACTCAGTCTCAGTCTAAACTTGACGGCACCTCTGGTGATGTGCTGGGTCCCAGTTCCGGCGTCGTAGCTGCTGTGGAGCAAGGTGATGTTTGCCTCGTTGCCCATCTCCGGGAGTAGGTGATTTCATCGAATTCCCCATGTAGCTTCCTAGGGGATCCTAGGGGTACATCTTCACACAGCCTCAGGAAACCTGAGGACCAAGCCTTTTGGCTGGTTGCTCCTGAGTCAGGTGGCTGATCAAAGGTGATCCTTGGCAGCCGGCTAAGGCAGGAACGTCGAGGCCGTCTCTGGAACCCAGGTGTTCAAAAGGAGTCTCCGGATTCAATGGCACCTGCACCCAAGGGAATCAAAGATTTGCCTACAATTTGAGAGCAAAGACGGGCATTGCCAGCCTTGGGCACGGAGCAGCCTGTCCAAACGATTCTGAGTTCCTACGTTTCGCACCTCAGAATCCATATCTCCCGCGGGGCGCTTCATGGCACACGCGAATGGGCAAAGCGCTTGTGGGCAGCAGGGTGGAGCCACTGCGGAGTTGGAGGCGTCGGCTAAACCGTTTCCACATTATCTTCGGTGGTTGACGATTGAATCCCTAGGCCCTAAGCACCTTACTGTCAACTTGTCAACTACTGACCGTTGTGGCATTGGCAAACAGTCAGCAACTACAGCTGAATCCACGGATCTCTTTTTGCACACGGCAATGCCGCAAACTAGTGACACTCTGGTTGATGGCTTTCTGAACCCATCCAAACAAGTTGAAGACATATGATTCACTTGTCATCGCAACTAGGATGCGAACAACACAAAATCCAATGACACAACCAGCCACCAACGGGCACTTCACGGAAGGCCATCTGAGTCTGAGTGCTGCTTGTTGACTCTCAACTTCCAACAGCTCATCCTCAGCCCCAAACCATCCACCCCAGCGGCCCTAGTCCTAGCGATTGAACAGCGACAGGAGAAACTCCACGAAAGCGGGCACGTCAGTGACTTTTGCCACGTTGACAACTTTGGTGCCACTGCTACTGTTTTTGGCGCGAGAGATACGACCTTGTTCCTTTCCAGAGGCATGGCCTTGCAATGGCATGGTCTCCCAACTGCAGAGCGTGGGCTGCAGATAGAGGCCCACTGTGAGCGTATCCCACATGTAGTACACTGCATTGCCTCGGCAGGCGGCAAAGGACAACTTTTGGAGAACTTTGCCCCACATTTGTGTTCTCGGTGTGGCCACGAACAAGCTTCCACACGATATTCCACAATTTCATGTGGTGCCGTTGGCGTCCAACAGTCTTTTGATCGACATCCCTTTGCAGTAGCCACTACAAAAATCGGAGCAGTATGCCAAGCTGGCACTTTGTTTCAGCCAATGCAGCGATTGGAATACCATGCCGATGCGCTACCATGCGCTTTTGTAACATGTCCCCTTGAAGATGCCGGCAACAAGTTGCGCTACCATTCAGAATGGACATGAAATGACATGAATGGACTCATTTTACATGCTGTTGCACATATTCTATATCCAATATTTCAACACTTCCAATACCACAGACATGAGAATCAGATTGTAGAGGAGGCTGATATCACCTTACCCCAGCTCTGAACCATCCACCTCCAGAGGCACAGCTAAAACGCCTAAACCGAAACCTAAAAAGTGACAGGTTCATTAGTGGAATTCCCAGATTCATCATATCCTATGATAATCCTATGGTAATCCTATCATAATCCTATCAAAATCCCATCATATATATTTCAAGATATTTCAGTATTGTTCATTGCTTTCATTCCATATACTCCAACATTTCCAAGGCACTCTTCTGAAACTTGGACTGTGCCCAGATCTGCTGCGCTGTGCGTGACACCAGCTTGGTGGGATCCAAGCGCTGGATAAAGTCCTTCCTCACCGGCACCGCGTTGGTGGCGTCCAACGGCACCTGGGCACTGCCGTGAGAAACGGAGGTGCTAAAAAGTGGTTGGGAATATGCCCGATAACCCTAATATGGGGGACCCCTAAATGAAGAGATCCAATACTAAAGCCAAGGTTTACTGGGGTATGGAAAATGGATGAAAATTGCGTGTCAACAATGTGATGGCCTTCGATGGTTAAACCATGGCTCAGAGATGAAAGAAAACAAACAAAGGGGTGTCGGATCCATGACTCCGAAGACAGAAAAACACAATTCAGCAATATCCCCATGATGGCAAGACGCCAGCCATAAATCCAACCCCAAACGCAGCAACTCCGCCGTTCCCTCTGGGTCCCAGAATGCATTCCATTCGGCTGAGCCATCGCTGTCCTCAACAAGCAGAGTGCATGGCACCGAAGTTTTCCATATAGTCTTGAACTTTTAAGTGCTGCACTTCGCCCACGATAAACCATAGGATCTTTGTTAGAACTTTGGATGCCACGGACACTTTGACCAAGATGGCTATTCGTGAACAGAGCTTCATTTCTTAAGATTTCGTAGATGGAGGAACTGCTGATATACAAATGGCCGCCTTGGACCTTGGCCCCAACACCTCTCTCCTGTGGTTTGTCATCATCGCTGTCGCGAATGTTGCCATCCACATCTACCGCTCCAGCCATCCAAAACACCCGGCCCACTTTTGAAGCCAAATGTGGGCGTCGTTGCAGCGCCCAGTTCAAGTTGGTCACTGGTCCAGTCAGCACAAAGTCCGTTGGGCCCTCTGCAGCTTCCAAATATCGCTCCAGCCATTCATGCGCAGCCTCGGATGCCACAAAAAGGGTCAACTTTCAGACCCAGAAACATCACAGACGTCAACAGTTTTGGGGTCATTCTTTGGCGCTTCAAACATGCTTCAACCCCCAAAGCTTTCTTCAAGTTCATTCGCCGGGTCAAGCCGCCAAGTGCCGCCAATAGGATCATGTATCATGTATGTGTATATTTATATCTTTTTTGTACATATTGTACATATATCATATTATATATAATGTATAGTATACATATGTACTCTCTCCTAATTCTCAGTGGCAGCCTCCTTCACATCCAGTGGTGGAAGCTCCTGCAGGTAGATATCTGCCACTTGAAGCATCTCTGTGGCCAACTCGCGCCAGACCTTGGGAAACTCGTTGTACCTGGCAGGGAAGCGCCCTGGAAGTACCGGCACCGCGCTGCGGTTCAGCATCCGAAGCACCTGAGGAAAAGGCGGATATTTTTTTAGCTTCAAACATGAGAAACAATGAGGATTGATCAACAAGTATCAGGATATTTCGTGAACTTCGGGATGTGTCTTCCACTACAGTCGAGTTACAGTATCAGTTGTTGGTTCTTGTGAACTGCAACCACATAGAAGCAGCTATCACTGGGTGTGCTCAACCTCTCGCGATTCTTGAAAACATACGGGTGCACCTGGTTGGCAAAGTCAGAAGGTGTGAAATGGATTGAAATGGCATGTGCCCAACACCCGTGCCCCTCCCGCACCTTCGCTGTGACTTCCACTGCTGCATCCAATTCGCAATCTGCAGGCGTCACCATCACAGCCTTCAAGTCAAGATCCGACCGTTGCAACAAGGCCAATAGAACCAAGATGTCATCGTAGTTACCTGGCATACAAGTACCAGCGAATAAAATCTCCTAACATGATTCAAACATATCCAAAATGGAGCTAAGCAGCCGTCATGATCCAGGACCAATGGCTTTGAACTGACCTCAGCACCCGGTTCCCCTTGTTAGCACATCCACAAGTGGACGTTGGTGGTTGAGTGACGCAGGTGTATCCTTGGAAACGAATCTAAACATATAAAACATACCATCTGGTTATTTAACATAGCCATGGAAAATGGCCCATTTATAGATGGTTTACCTATTAAAGATGGTGATTTTCCATGGCTACAAGTATGTTAAATAACCAAATGGTATGTTAAGATAAACGCCAACATGGATGTACCTGCCCAGCGCTTTTTTTCGCTAAGTGGCGCAAGTTTCCTCCCCACAGATTGGCGGTTCAGCCGCGGCCAGTATCACCATGGCTATCTTTGCACACCACATGATGGACATCAATACACAAAAAATCAACAGACCTTGAGCTTCTGCATGTCTGTTGTCCATGGACACTCAAAGAGGGCCGTGAGCACCATGTTCATGCCTTATCCATATGCAAAATATACAAATGCACATAAATCGATATACAATTGCAGCTGTGCACTACATACATTTTCCATGACAATGACAGGATGTGAAACATGGTTGCTCTGAACATGGGCAATCTCCAAATATCTCGTCCTTTGTCCGAAGCAAACGGCGATTGGGGGTACAGAAATCCACCATTTGGACCACCGAGGGCGTACGATTTGCGTGGGCTTATGGCTTTGGATGGGAAACATACCCAAGGGAAGTTGCCAAAACGACAAAATCTGCCTGGGGCTTCAAACCTATCCCACACATAATCGTCACTGGAGATCATGATCAGAAATATGCACGACACATATGTTTGAGGCTCGCAACCAAGCAAGTAGAATCCGACCATCTCAAAATCTCCTCCGAAACATCAAACTAAGAAAACCTGAAGTTTCTCATTAACTCATCATAATGGGTTTGTCGGAAAATAGGGCACCCATGGGCACCCTCAGATACAATGTATTCTTTTCATTTCTTTTCATCTTTCCGGCAAGAAAGGGACTTTTTGATGATTCTTGGACACACCCAAATCATCCACGGGCTCAGCAAGGTGTTTTCGATTTTCGGGCTGGTCATGGCTTGTGAAATTGCGGTGTCCAACATGGCTCTGCATGAAGGACTGGGCCGACTGGGCCAAAACACTGCTGGAGGGCCTTCGAGATTCTCAGCTGCACCCAAGATGAATAATGATATGTATACATAATTAATCATAACTAGTGTGTGTATACATGTATACATCTTGGTACAGTATGTATGTGTATACGCGGACATAATATTACACAATTATATGATGTATTGTGGGTGCAAAACAAAGTTGAACGATCCCTGAGGGGGGTACATCATTGCGACCACAGGCCTATCCCCCACAGAGAAAATCACCAACACCTCTTGTGGACCTGGCCGGCCCCCTAAGTCCTCCCGAGAATGTCCGTGTCGCGACGGAGCCACAAGCCAAAACAGCAGGGGAAGCGGAGGCTAACTGCAAATGAACTGCACCCAGTGTTTCTGCGAGTGTTGTTTGGAAATATTGCAAGGTCCGTGCTCAAAAAGCACGGACCAAGAATCATGACAAGTTTCCAATAATTATTCAATAATCAATTTAATGTCAACCCCGGATTAATAAACCATGGTTTATTAATTAGAGGGGTACTCCTCCAATAGACATAATCTGATACTTAAATGGTATTCTCCCAATTAAACAGCTTGGCCATCAGTTCTCATTCCCTGATTCACCCACAGGTTCCAGTTGGAAGCACTCACTGGGATCTGAGCAGGACGCAGTTAGTTCGCGAAATCTTTACACCGCAACACCCGAGCTGTTCGCATAGCAACCTACAATGAACCTACAAACCGGGTCGCAAGGACCTGCGGTTAAACTGTACCATGTTTCTTGAGATCACTTGGGCCTGGCACAGCCCCTGGTGCGGCTCTGAACACTTCGAAAAAGTGGCCTGCTGTGGTTTTTTTGACGCCTTGCCAATCGGGATCCATCGGCCGCCCGGGGACTGAAACTATGCCCTGGAGACCTCGAAGCGTAGCTCTCAGCATGCCTCGTGAACCTGGGGATGCAATGTCCAACGGAAACTGGGCTAAGGGGATAGCTCAATTACTCCTGGGATCATTGGAATGGTGGATGCTGGCAGCTACCAGCTATAAGTTTGCAACACCTGGGTGCCAGGTTGGTGACGCATACCCAAAGAGGCAGGTAGGGATAAGTAGATGTCACAGCCTCACTAGCAAATTGACCTGTAGAAGCTGAGATCAACATGACCCCAAACAAAAACCACACCAGTGGCAATTCTAGTTCAGCTTTGATAGCAGAAACACCTTCGAATGACTGCAACGAAACAAACCATCGCCATTTTTCAACTTAAAAATAGCTGACCAATTCCAGTGTCATCCACATCTACCCATCATAATCAACCAGAAATCTCACTAGCACCATCTGCCAGCAAATGCCACTGCATCTCAGCCACTGCTTCTTGTATGCAGACTTTCCAAGCGTGCCCAAACCTTGGAACATCTTTCTTGGCACTGCTTGGCACCGAAGAAACACAGCCGAGATGCAGGGCACATGCAGGGCGGCATCACAAAGAATCCTTCGGCCTGGGTTTTTTCAGCAGCAAGAGATGGGGGCGTTCAATGGGTCCAATTTTCTTCAACTCAATTTGGGGAAGAAGTAGAGTGAAGCCTTGCAACATGAGTCACAGCACCAAGTTGAACACCACGAATTGCCTTCTCGCGCCCTGGTGTGTCATGGACTGCCAAGCTGCTCCAAGCCCGGCCATATGTGTATACCTCCGGCGCCAATTTTTGCAGCCTCAGCGTCTACCCACAAAGGCAAAAACAGATGATACGGCCGAGTTGAATTAAGCAATGCAGATATGTGATTTACCAAAAGGAGTTGCCGTTCTATGTTCGCGCGCGCGCGTGTGTGTGTTTGTGTTTGTTTGTCAAAACTCAGAACAATCGAACAATCCCAGCCTTGTGATGCTTGTAGTAGGTTCCGCCTTGGGTCTGTAGCAAGGTCAATGCTAGAAAAGGTCATTTCAAATCATCCCGAATAGGGTATCAACAACAATAATCCCCAGTTGGGGATGGTTTACTATTGGGTTTACTTCATTATGTACACACTAATACGATCTAATACGTATCACGCCTGGGGCACTCTACAACATGATCTTAGACCTGTGAGGACCTGTGAGCTCTATCTTTCAGAGGTCCCCGATTTAAAAATTGGTTCTGTCATCAACAAAACACACAAATCATAAAGATAAATCAAAGACCTCTTGCGTACCCTTCCGCAATCAAACATGGCAATTGGAAATGCAGGTTTCAATGAGAAAATCATCCATAAAATTCTCTAAACGGGGAATTTCCCAGAGGTTGGATTACTGGAGCGTAACTCATATCTTTGCACAGCCAGGTCCTCAAAACGGCTTTTCGCATCCCGGCCTGGCTGTCCTGCTTCACTGTACTTCCGGCCATAGTTTTGGAGTCGCAACTTGTCCTACGCAAAACAGGACAAGTTGGCAGCGAGTCGATCTCCCCAAAGCGTCCGGACATATCAACAGAAGCAACCAACAAATTTTCATTGTACTAGTGGTTGGTAGGTTTCCCTACTATGGGTTGTAATATGTTATAATAATCCTCAATAACCCAAGTAGTAGAAATCCATAGAAATCCGTATAAATATGTTTGCTGTTTGCTATTCTTCTTAGGATCTTATAGCTCACATGTTGATAGATGTACATTCATAGTGTACATAATTACATGTCAATATATGTCTATAGACATACCTCCCCGTACATTCATTGTTGATTGGTGCCATCTCTTCTCGCTCTGGTAATTTCACCTATGGAGAATCACCATGTTTGACAAATGAATCATCTGTAGCTGGTGCATTTTCCATAGCTATCTTAGTTTCCTGGAGAAAACATGAGAAAACTACACGGTTCCAAGAGCCGCCGCCAGTGTTTCCATGCTTCAACGAATTTCAAGCAACATTTTTTTACGATGAAGAAAGGCAAAGTGTTTTGCAAATGAAAGTCGGTGACCAATCAAGCACCCCACCCCCAAGGCCCAAGGCCCAAGGCCCATCCTCAGTTTGTAGCGTTGCTGGCTCCAGGTCCACACGTTCTCCCAGGCGAACATGTCGCCCGTCTCGCACCTGCAATTTGCTAAAGGATGCTATCTGCTATCACACATCACATTTAAGTATTGATGATGATGATGATGATGATGATGATGATGATGATGATAAGCTTCAGAACGAAGAGGGTACGGTTGCCAAGATATATCCAAATGCCAAACAGCAAGGCAATCTGTTGCCCCAGCTGGGTCACGACCGGCCTCAGCAATGTGGTGAACAGCGCCTTTGTGAACCACGAAGCTGAAATCCTGTGCCGGCCACAGCCACTCGGGATGATTGCATCACTGGAAAAATATGAACACATAATAATATATAACATATATCATAAGAATTCATAAGAATCCCCCAGGCTTGAACACAAACAACTCGGAACACAGAACATCACATAAGATCGAGATAACCATTTCCATTTCACAAGGATGCCACAACGCAATCTTTAGGTCTATGAAGAATCTGAAGACCTCGGCGTGATCGCAAATCCCAAATCACCTTGGCCATTCCTGGCCTGCGGATTCCAGTTGGCCACTTCGGCGTAGCTGCTGCAGTATCTGGCATAGCTATGCTCCCAGATGCTATTGTACACGATGCCCTTTCCTCAGGGGGGCACTTTGAATGGCCTGTAGCTGGCTGCATTTTCAGTAGATCAGTGGGTCAACAAGCACATATCACATTCTTTGGGTCTCCAGTGCAGCCAAAGGCACCGTTGAAGTGCTGGATGACATCCTCTGCAGTAGTTGTACTGTTCACGTCGAAAAAATCATTCTCCTTAGGCAAAGATGTGGGGTTGGGTCAACACTGCGATGTGATGGGTGTGGCTGGGGTTGGCGACAACATACATCTTGCGCCCAAGGGACCTCCATAAATCTCCAAAAGCATCATGGGATTTCATGGCTAAGCATCCATTTTCATCAGTCAAACATCTCAAAACGACAAGTTTAGTGCCTCCATTTTGAGATCAACAGCCTTGGCCATGGAATGCCATGGGCAGTGCCAACATGTGCCAACCAGGCACCTTCTCCAAGTAATCCAGAATCGGAAGCACATATTCCAAAGGAAACCAGCGGCCCTTCTGCGCGTGAGTTCGGTCCAAAAGCTTCTGGTGATGAAATGGCCTGACGCTGAGTCGAACCCCCAGCTAAACAATGCTAAACAGGACTCTGTGGAGCTTATGTGTACAAATAAATACACAAACACATAAATCAATAACTACCGTATATTCTGTAAAGAAACACACACTGTAAATGAATATAAATACATAGAACGTTTCTTTATATAATATATCGTTGTATATGTTTTTTTTGGGCAGAGTTTCTCGGCTCGGCGAGGATCTGCCCTCCTACATAGGTACACACATAGATAGTGAAGGAAAACACCGGGAACTGTAGCCATGGCTGCTGCGGTTGAGGGGCAGCAATGGCAGCACGATCCATTGGAGGTGTAGTTGAGATTGAGATGGCGGACTATTGAAGCCGCACATGATGTTTTGACCTGGGATCTGTCGCGGTCATGATCTGTCGCAGTTTTTGGCTTCCAAAAAGGGAGGAACAAAAAAACAACAGGATCACCTTGACTTCAATGAACTGCTGATCCGAAAGTCCGAAAGTCCTCAACCTGCCCAAATCACTGCCGACGATCCCACCCATGGTGACGTGCCAAAGCTTTCTGAGCTTCTGGCGGATCATCTCCTGACTGCGCAAGGATGACACCATAGGTATGAATAACACACACGCAAATGTGTGTATATATATATATATATGTATATTATACATGTATACTATGTGTGTGTATGTCTATGTATATATGTATATATGTGCACACGCACACACACACATATATATATATATACATACACATGCACATCACATAATAATATGTGCACAACTATATATATATATATATGTGATATATGCACACATGTTATAAATATCTTAGGCTAGAGTCTAAAATCAATGCATAATGTACATGAATGTGCAATGTGTGTGGATGAAATTTTATCTATGTGGCATGTAGGAACACAGTTTGGTGGTGCACACACACACATATATATATGTATATATATATATGGTTTTGCGGATACACAGCACATAAACAAAAGGCAAGATGTCAAACAGCAGGTTACCGCCATTTCCAATGCTTTTGACGATGTCTTATGGGCTTGTCACGGCTTATCCGTTCCTTCAACTTGGGACCAATATCTTTGCCGATCACCAGCCTCTGTCACGCCTTCTTTGTAAATGAAACGTCGCCACTCCGCCTCACTATGACAAAGGCCCAGGCTCCCAACTTTGGACCTTCACATCCCTCCATCATCCAAAGTTATATAATCTGGAAGGAGGGGCTAACGAAAAGATATTCCCCTTAAAGTTCCTTAAAGGCTGATTGCTAACATACTTGGCCTGGGGAAAGTCTAGCAAACACTTTCCCTTGTGCCAAGCCGCGTCGTCCAGAAAGGATCTTGTAGCTTCCCAGGCCTTCCAAAAAGGGTCTGCCAGCATGCCCTTAATTCTATGGACGAGAGAACCCCTTCCTTGCACCCTGGGCACTTCAACCCCGTATCTGTTGGGATACACCCGCTCTCCAGCTGGGATTGCCACACCTTTGGCAGCTGCACCCTGCTCACAAATGCATACATATGCCACTCCTTCAACAGATCTACAAGACTTCCTAAGCACGAGATCCCTCAACGGCTTGGGCCCTTGGAATTTTAAAAGTCATCATGACCCTTTAGCCCGCGCTATCACCATAATATACCATAATTAATCATATTCTACATGCAAGGCTCATCCACCCGCATATGTCCACTATGAACCGCAGCTGATTTTGGCGCCTCCTGCACCAAAGTATCGATCAGCTGCTTCGCACCCGTGGGATCGCGCAAAAGCCAAATCCAATCCTCTCCGCTTCCAAACGTGCGGAAAAACATGGAAAAACGTGGACTATTCTTTGACTTGATAATTTGGATGAATCGTCATAATAGAGATGAATAGATCATTTGATCATATCATAAGAAAACACACACACACATATATATATATATTATATATATCATATATATATATAATCCCCAACCAGTTCCGTTTGGGCATCCGTAGGTTTCGATTGGGTGGATCATCCCGAATCGCCGGTCCGCCACGTAGTGATTGGTGGGCAGCGCGTTCAAATGGCAGGAGGACATGGCCAGCCTGAGCCGATCGGAGATGGGATGCCTCACTTGGCCCATGAAGATTGGGGGGATTTATCCACCAAAATAGTAAGGAGAAAGCCAGATATCCCAGATGGATCCTGTCTCTCATTGTCTCTCACTTTTTGTGAATTTCCTCTGTGAGCAGTTCCAATCCCAAAGATGCAATAAATATCAATACATACTTTCAGCATCTTTCAGCTGAAGGATGTGCGGGAAATGGAGAAAAAACACCACTGGGATCCTCCCATGGAGATCCATCCCCTCCCATGGGATCCGCCCAGTGACAAGTCATCGTACACGATGGCGTCAATGCTTTGCCGCCGCAGGGAGATCACCAAAGGAAACCTCGAGGCAGGCAGCTGGCAACGAACGCTCCGCTTTAAGCTGCTGTAGTTGATGAATTTTCAATGTATGTTACCCTCTGGTGATTTAACGTAACTATGGAAAATCACCATGTTTAATGGGTAAATCCACTATAAATGGCAATTTTCAATAGCTATGTTAGTTTACCAGAGGGTACCTACCCCTCTGAAACATATGAAAGTCAGTTGGGATGATGATTCCCAATATGATGGGAAAAATAAAACATATTCCGAACCACCAGCCAGTAGTGATTGTTAATGTATATCCAGGATATATCCAATGTATACTAGTATATGATAAATCATGAATCATAAACCATCATACCATCTAGAATTTTATCAGAACTTTTGGTGGGGTAAGAGGATCCCTTAAAATGGTCGTTGCAACTAAATGCCCTGGGGTTTACCATGGTTTACCACCGATTTCCCAAGATTTCCCCTTTCATGACCCCTTTCATCCAAGACACTTGGACGTCTTTTCCACGCCAAAAATGAATCCCATGAGGACGTTCCTGTGGTTCCACCAAAGGTCGACGGTGCCATGGAACCACGATGTCGTCACCTGACTGACCTGTAAATATTTACCATATTTACCTGCATGATAAGCACTGAGCATGCACTGAGTACCAAACAATGTGAGATCCTGTTGAGAAATGTGAATGATTTGATTCTCTCCGCCTTTCTGCAACGCTGGACAAAGTTTTCCAGAGAAGATGGGCAAGAACTAATGAGCGAGTTCCCAGCATATTCAAAAACCTGATGGTCTGTCGGAATATGGGACACCCCCCAACATCATTCGCAATCCCATCCAAAATTGCCTTAAATGACAGTTATATAAATTATGTTAATCGTTCCTTTTCAGACAAGCAGCTCTGTCTGTGTCACCGGCACCGTTTCAAGGGGCGTACCACCTTGGGGCAGATGACAATTCTTTGACCTTTCCATAGGCTTGAGATCCTAACGCGCCCCGGAGCAATCCATGAAAAAATGTTGAAACATCAAGGATTAATTTGTTGGGGGATAGGCCATACCAGTTTTACACTTAAACTTGGAAGTCCATCGCTTCGTTGTCAGGCCACAAGCTTGACAAGCTTTCTGTGAGTAGGCGCAAGCGCGTAAGCATTGAACGCATACCTGGGCACCATTGGGCACCCATTTCAGCGTGCCAGCGGCAGGTTGCGGTTGGATGTGAACCATGGTGCAAAAGGAAAGGCATAAAACAACAATCACAGCATGTCTGGGAGAATGGGAATCGCTAAAGAAAAAGGATCAGAGAAGACATGATTTCATCCGGATTTCTTCAAACCTGCATTCCTTGCGTTCAGCCAATGACTCCCTTTCACTCAGGGCGGAACTTTCACATTGTTGAAGAGGTACCTTCACCAGGGGCATCAGGGGCAGTGCTGCCTGCGTCCCAAAAATACGCTCATACCTCATAGATCCTGATAGTATGTTTGCATGTATAAATACCATGCTTTCCCCAGAGATTTTCCCCAGACAACTCTTGCAGATTTCCCCAGTTGGCCTTGCCAAGTCCTTGTTCTTCTGGGCTAATTGCTCCACCTTGGGACCGATGTGCCAGTGGCAACTGGCTCCAGTGGTTTCAGGGCCAAACCCAGGTAGGGATGGAAACACGGGGCATCTAAAACGATTTAAAACCCTAACCAGAAAAGAACCTAGAGGTAACATGATGATCTGATGAAGTCGCACCTTATTTTCCCATGCTGTTTTTCACCTTGTCTTTCCAATCTGCCGTATCATCCAAGAGCTTCTCCTCTCACAGGGGTCAAAGTCCACATCATTCAACCCCAAAAATGGATTGTTTATGAATACTTGACAACCCAAAAAGCCCGTTGATAGTGGTCTAGTCAATAAATCGAAAAATAATTATATAATTGACCCCACGATGGATATTTCTTAAAATGGGGGGCCGAACTGGGTCATTTTAACGGAAGAAACCAACGGTCTGGGGCACCCCTAGTTTAGGAAACCATCAAATATCTGATCATCAATAGATCAAAATAGATGGTCAAGTTTAAGTTACATCATGTCATGTCAAAACCCTCTGAAGATGGAACTCCTGGGCCAACACCATATTAAACTATATCCATTTGCCCCAGCCCCTTGACATCCTCCTCGATCAGACCCATCCAAGTGACAGCCCCACACAGGGGTGGCTCAATGTGTTCCCAGCCGCAAGGCACCTAATGTTTGGCCGAAAACGTGGTGCCCAGGTATAAGTTGGTTGTAGTTAGTTTATAACCCCCATAAGCATCCACTATAGTCACTATATTACATAACTTGTTCAATACATCTACCATCACCCAGTTCTTGGAGGTAGCGACCAATTTAGCTGAAATAAATCAACTTTGAATCCCCATCTTCTTTCCAATAAAAATTGTTGGTGACATCCCTCTTTTTAGTGCCAACTTCGCAAAAAATATTTCGAGGACATCTCGAGCTCGATGAGCCTCTGGGAATTGGCCCTTGAAGCCCGCCAAATAGCATCCATCACCAAGCAGAAATTGCTCCTGTCGCTGGTCGCTCGCTGGTCGCTGTTGGTGGAAAAAAAACCGCCGGATCATTGGATCATCGCTGGAAAAGTCAGATGAAAACAAACATACCCTCTGGTAATTTAACATAGCTATGGAAAATCACCATTTTAATAGGTAAATCAACTATAAATGGACCATTTTCAATAGCTATGTTAAATTACAAGAGGGTACCTACAGTAGCATAGTTGAAACCACAGCGACCAGCCATTGAACCGGAGGGAAACTCCTTTTAAACATTGGCCACACGTTCCCCAGGCCTCTCGAGGCGAGGTTACCTTGCACTCCTGGCAAAGTGGTCCCAAATCCCGGCTGTCCGTACAGCACCCACTCCGAAAGCATTTCCATCTTTAAACTTGGAAGGGTATGGCCAGCACCTGATTATACACAACACAAAAACACACACAATCACACGCAGTGTATATATATATATAATATGTTAAAATCTTTAATTTACAGCAACTTGGAAGATTATCATATAGCCTATTGGAATTGCCCAGCACTGACATTTGCGCAGCGAAATGAGCTGATTGGTGGACTCAATTATCCCAAAAATTGGGCAGCCGTCGGGCACCATCATCGTCGGTTCGGACAAAAACCAAGGATCCAGTGGGTACTGGCCCAACATGCTCATGCCGTGGGATTTTCCATAAATGGGGGTACCCCAACATGGATGCTTTATGATGGAAAATCCATCTATAAATGGATGATTTGGGGGTACCCCCATGACTTGGGAAACCTCCATATTATCATATTGCTGTGTTTGGCTGTGTAAAAAAAAACATCCAGTGGATCCCCGAATTCGGCCTCGCCGGAGCAAGTGTAAAACCGCCAAACTCTGTCTAACAAGACTTTCATGGCGCCCCCATCGAATCCCATCGACCCGCAAGGCCACTTGGCTGGAACTAGGAGCCCAGATTTTGGCGGTTCAAGATGGTTCAAGTATGACACCACTAGGGGTGCATTCATTGGACAACATGTGCCAACAAACGAAGCCGGATTCAAAGAAATTCAAAGAATAGTATTTCAGAAGCTGATGGACATCCACAGCTGACATCTTGACATGGATAATGTAAGCGGCCCTTCGGCCCTTCTTCCTTGTGCAAGTTAGCAAGTTGTCATACATCAAATGCCTAAAGACTGACCAAACCCTTGTGCCATCAGAGGCACCACTGCAAGACCATCCTCTCATGCTGTAAGCGGTGGGTGATTCAATAGACTATAGACTGTATAGACTGATAGAAAGAACACGAAACACCAAGCCGTTTTCAATCAGTGCCTATCATATTTATTATGCTTCAGTTGTTTGTTCATTTTGATGAATTTTAAAGCATAGTGAGATCTCCAGCAGCTATCACATACACGAACGGTTCGTTAAAAGCTGTCACAGGATGTCACAGGATTTGAGGCCAAGTACTGCAGCGGTTGGATAGTGCAACAGCCCCTCTGGCCATTTCCGAAAGGGGGTGTATCTGAAAAGGGCCATGCCCCAAAAATGTGATCTTTACAAAGAACCTGATGATAAAGCGTTGGATTTTGTAGGGTGCCCTGTTTTGAGACAAATTTGACAAAACTTCAATGGCCACCACATCCTCCCACAAATCAGGGCCTGACATGGCTGGCAGTTCAGCGAACAGTTTCCCAGTGGCAAGCGCGACCAGCGGTCGTTTGGTGAAACGACAAGGGCCAACAGTGTTGACCCCTGTTGTGAATTTCCAGAGCGATTCTTCGTGCTGTTTTTCGTGACATGGCAGGAGAATGCTGGATTTCAACATGGATGGTTTCAACGCTACTGTTTACTAAGCCTCAAACAATAACCTTTCAGGGAGGGCTGACAGGATACAACATGCTTCTAGCATCTTTCAGAGATGATGACTGGCAACCTCAACAATTTTTTGGATGGTTCTTAACGCACCCATTTCTGCTAGTATTGGGGGGGCTGGTTTACCAGTGGGTTTACCACATTTGCTCCAATGTCACTGTGCATGTCATATAATCATGTGTAAATGTTACATGTATAATACAATTATATATACAAATAATATATATATATATATACAATCATATATATATATATTATTTGTATATATATATATATTATTTGTATATAATATATATATATATGTATATTATAAATCCACATAATTCCATGAAACTGTAGCTTTGGGACAGGATCCAGCTCTTCCGCTCGAGTTCCAACTGCAGGTTGTCACTGGAACCGGGTTCTCTCCAGTGGGGCCACGGCACGCCGAACGTTTGGAATGCCAGCCCATCATGTCCCAAACGAGCATATCATAGCATATCTATGTATCTATCCGTTAAACACAGAACTATCACAGAAAATATGTGTTGAATATCTTATGTGTGTATATATATATACACATACACGATATACAAACATTTGCATAACATATCATAACATCAAGAGACCAGTATCCCTTCAGGATTCTCCATGAGACCATATCAAAATTATCAAATGGAGCACATGTTGACTGAGCGGCTTCCAGCGGAGGAATGAGCCAAGCATTGCTCTCATTGGTCTCTCACTCCTCTTCCGCTTCCAAGGCTTCTTGATGTCTCTGACACACATCCACCAGCCTGAAGTGCCATCTACCCTCTGGTAATTGCACAGTTGGGAAAATTGCCCATTCATAGATGGTTTGCCTATTGGCCTATTAAAAGTGTTGATTTTCCAGAGCTATATTTTAGATTTTCAGAGAGTATAACCCCATGACGCCGGAGTTCAAGGACACGAATGCATGGACGCACAGAGAAAAACAGAGAGATTCCGGATGATTCAGGCGACCGCTGCCAAGGAATTCCACAATCTGGTGATAGGTTCACACTCCATTCACTAACACTAACACTAACACACAAACACACACACACACACACGCGCACATGTGTGTGCATGTGTGTGTCTGAAAATATCGTGTGCCAACCCCAAATGACAATTTTGGCCATTGTGGTAGGGAAAGTGATGATGACAACGTATGATGACCCATTGGATTTTTGGAGTGCTGTACCCTATGTGCAAACAACCCCCACATCTTTTGTGAAGGTTTCACCATGACAAGCTCCAATCTCCAAGGCACAAATTGATGCAGGAGATGAAGTCGTGCACATTGATGACCGGCTGGCAGGGATTGGGGAACCAACTGGCTAGCTGGCAGGGATGGATACGAGTTTTTACCTCATTCTTTGGAAGCCCAACATCCAACACAATGTGACTGGCTTTACCTCATTCTTTGGAAGCCCAAGGAACGGCACAATGTGGGACATGAGATAAATCATGGACCTTCACAACTGCTGATCTGCCCCGAAACATCTCACAGCATGATGGCGCAACGGGCACAAATGCTTGCCTGCTCCTCCACTTTTCCCGTGATCATCAACCACTCGCCTACCTGGATGCGAGGACATCTTTGTTTCATGCCAATGGAGGACCAACCTCACACCTGAAGAGCAACTTCTGGATTCTGGATGATGCCATCATCTATGACTACCATGACTGGTGAATCCTTAGATTCCACATGATTCCACTCATTAAGGGTTTCATTGTTTTTTCATCCTCTTCAAGTTCCATCCGTTTCCGTTTCCACATGGCCCAGGGACATATCTGTCAAATTGGTCACAGTGGACATCTGGGAAATCCAAGGACCTGTCTGTGGCGGAGGGCAAAGTTGGGAGGCAACTGTGCTTTAAAGATCTTTAAAGGGCACCTTGAGCTTACGCCTTAAAGCGTAAGCGCTTCAGAGCGACAAAAAAAAAGATACTCCTTTCATGTGCCCACGCTATCTCACGCGCATTCCTCCTGTCTGGGCCCGCAACTCCATGAAATATGGGGCACAAGCCAACCCAAAAAGTAGAACAATGCCCAGGGAGGACTAAGCATTGTCTCCTCCGGTATCGCTCTTTCTTTATCTAGGAGCCAACCAAACAACAAACAATAACAAACACATGATGAAGGAACATGCAAGACATTGCACATAACACCAAGAGCAAAAGAGACTTCTGACATCTTCCGACAGTGCAATCCAAGAAGCATCAACAGGGCACGAAGCTCGTATGGTCCCAAAGTCCCCTTGGGGGCAAACCTCAGTGAGCCCAGTTGTGAGGCCGAAACATGGCCTTTTTAAAGACAAGACCATGGACCATCTCACGGCCAATCTTAGATATCAATCTATTGTTCACTTTAACATATAGTGTTAAACTATTAGATGGTTAACCCATCCTGTTTTATAGTTGATATATATATAGATGGTTACAACATCATTGAACCATAGTTGAACCCATTGATGGCACAAAATCGAAGAAACCGAGGCCCGGATCCAGGAGCCCCAGCTTTCGGAATGCACCGCGCATGTACTCCTCACTGGCCTGGAGTTCGGTCCTCGGCAGAACTCAGCTGATGGCGACATGCCAATCTTGGGGCCTCAAACCCATGGCTTTCCGCAGTGGTTGAGGTATAAGTCGGTATAAGGTTGCAATATGCTGTCATTCATCAATTCGTGCTTCCAGACTGACTAGTGACAGGTCCATCTTTTGATCCATGTTGAATTCATGATGATCTTAATCTACTTCGATTGATCTCAGAGTTTCAGTATCCATTGATATATATATATATATATATATGTGTGTTTTTTGGGGCGACATCCACACATCCAAAGCCGAATGGCAAGGTCAGAGTCTTCCCTGCCGTGCAGCTCCGCACTGCGGGGGTTTGTGCCTGGGCGACGATGGAACTGGCGGGGCTGCGGCCGGGGTCCAAGTGTTGGGCATTGGGGCATCCACCGCCAAAATGCCAGTGCAGATGCTCTTCACTTGATCCAAGGTCAACCCATCCACCTGAGGCCAAAGTCATGGGATGTCATGGGGTACCCCAGTCATCCCCAGTCTTCATTTTAGATAGGATTGTCCAGTATGAACCAACCACATTGGGGATTCCCCATTTATATCCATTTATGGAACCCCCCCAAATGGCAGCATCAGAAAAGGCGAATGGGACAGATGAAAGTTCGAAGCCCTGCCTGGTTGAGATGCCCAAGCCTTGGCTGTGGCCATCAATTCATTGGGTTTTTCCAACATTAACGGGTACAAAGGAAAGTTCATCCAACTGAACTTGCAAGCCTTCACAGTTTTGGGAAATTAGTTGCAAGTTCAGAATCTTCAGAGGTGCTACATGAGTTCCATGATTCATGAATCGAAGGTTGAATGAAAGCCCGACCCTGCTTCGGAATTCCTCACTGACCAGTTAAAAAACAGCTGTGGAATGCTGGGGTCAGTGCCATTCCTTTGCAACTTTCGCGTTGAGGTGCAAGTCCTTGGGCCAGGTGGGGTCAGGACTTTTTTCCCTCGTCCAGCCAAGATCCACTGGGTGAATTACCCGAAAACCCTCATGGCCCTTAAACATATTTTGAACATCCAAACATGTCGGTTTTTGATGGTTTGTCTGCAACCAATTCTGGCCAAGACGGCCCAGTGGAGCAGGTGCTTGTCTGCAGGAGCGGAACTTGAGTCACCGACCAGGCTTGCACACATACTGAAGAAGGAATGGACTTCCAACTGTCGCGAACGGTGGAAACGGCTGTCCAACCTGTCCCTATGATTTTGGCCATCTTGGAGCATCAAACTTCTCCCGATGTGCAACACTACTGCTATCAGCATTAGGAAGGACTACTGGTTTGAGCAGTTGGCCGATGTAGTTGTGGTGTCCACACAAAGTGTTGCCACTGCATACATACATTAAGGATCATTAAGGAAGATTCGACATGTGTTCAGGACCAATCTCCACGCATGGATGTGGGTCAATGGACTCCACTTCCGCAGCTGATCCCAACGACTGCGGCGATGGCAACAGCAGGCCTTGCCACTGTTGTATTTGTCAAACTTTCGAAAGGCCAAATCCTTAGCACTTGAGAAATGCTCACAACCGGTCCTCCCAGATTTCGTTGAAGACATCGGACATCAACATCTGCTGGGTGGTGGTAGTGGTTGCTCCAATAATTTTCGGTGAAATGGGACCGCCTAATGCTGGAATGGACTGTGTAAAAGGATGTAAAAAGATGTAAAAAGTAAGTATCTCCAAGAAGATCGATATTTCATCCCTGTCAAAAAAATAAATTGTCCTTCTTCAAGTAGAACCCCTGCCTTTCCGAAACAATTGTGGGTGCTCGCCCCCCTGAGCCACGACGATGGCCGAGGCACAATCGCCCTTTCCTCCAATGGACTCAGCTCCTAAACCCAGTGGCAAAGATCTTGCAGAAGTGGGTGAATGTCAGCAGAACATGGCAGAACTGCACCTTGTAGGTCCCAGTCTGTGCTCGTGGGCCCCGCATCACCGGGCGCGGGGTGGCTGGAGCAGAACCTTCGCCAAAGGGATGCAGATGCTCTGAGGCTCAGACCGTTGGAATGGGAGCAGAACAATAACATCTTGGTGAACACAAAAAAGTTCATCCCCAAAATCCCATAGCCAGTCTAGCCAGTCCCCATCTCCACCTGGTGGAGGAACTCCCCTGGGCGTCAACGCCACTTCCAAGACCTGACTTTCTTTTTACCAGAAGTGGCTTCGGTGGGTCGGAACCGGTAACAGTACCGAGGCCAAGGCATCCGACACAGGCATGCCTCTGGAGACAAGTTCCCGGGCCTGGCGAAATTGTGCTGGGAAACAGTGGCATTCTTCAGGCTGAGATCGAATCTGACCTGAGATAATATGTGCAGAAAAAACATATAAACATAATAATAGTAAATACGCACACACACACATATATGCATATATATTAATATGTGTATATATATATATATGCATAAATGTATATACATATATACATATTATATATGCATATATAAATATTTATTTATGTATTTATAGAGCTATATATTCAATTAAATACTTAATCACACACACACACATATATATATATATTGTAAATATGTAGGGCGATTCTAGATGATCCTAGGTCCTAGGTAGTACATCACCAAGACACAAAGAGCTGAGCGCCAGACTGCTGCTTCATGGGAGTATGGGGGTGGAGCTGGCAATCGCCCGATGGCTGCCGCCTTTGGAGGGCCCATCCTGGCGCCCATGATCTTTCACATATGGCTTCGTCTGAAACTGGGAAACACCCACTTTATATATATATATATGTTATATTTTATTATATATTATATATTGTATATTCTATATTAAATATTATATGTTATAAATAAATAAATATAAATAAATAAATAAATATAAATAAATAAATAAATATAAATAAATAAATAAATATATATATATATATATTGTGACCATTCTAGACTGTAGGGACGCTGATGAGTAGCCAATGGATTTTAGATGATTTTGGGCTCCCATTGGCTATCTCATTTTCAGCCAAACCATGCCAAACCCATATACAAAGACCAACATTTGCAAGCGCCCCAACATGCCATTGCCCGATCACATGGATTGTGCACAAGCTGCCGTTCCGGTGCTGCCTCAAGTACAAGGAGGCAAGGTGTGCAGTGAGACTTCGGGCCCAAAAAATCGACATCGGTTCACAGCCTTTTCAACTATGGCGTAGACTGCGCAGACTGCACCATGATCATGAATGATCAGCAAACGGATGCGGCCAACCCTACAAACAACAAAACAAAACACCGGTCAATCATGGTCAATGCTACCAGAATGCCAACCTGATCTTCGTCACAAACTTGGATGTCTTGCGGCATCCACACTGCGATTTACGATATTTGGCTTCCGAAAGGACAGTCATTGTCAGCCAGCCACAAATCACTCCTGGATCGCCTGCTGAATTGGTGCAAACATCTCTCAATGGCAGATCTTCTGCCAGTTTCGCAGAGACGCTGCTGTTTCTCTCCGGAGGGCCCGCCACCGCTACCACCGTGCAATTTTCCCAATGATTGGGTGAAGCAGTTTGCCCAGACTCTGTTGGAAAAAGGTGTCACGACTTTTGAATGGGGCAGCGAGCATCTTTTAGCCGTTTCAGGCCAGAGGCGCAGCATCAATGCATCGCCTCTGAGGGCACATTATCATACATTATCTGTAAGAAATATATCCATCAGTCAGAGCGTAAGGTTGCAACCAGCCTGGATCACAGCCATACCATCTATGTGGAGGAACAGCTGTTGGACTGTGACAAGGCAAATGGCTCCTGAGCGCTGCAAACTAACGAACCGTTTCAAGCAAATGGTTTGTAGTGTTGGACAAAGTCTGGTGCTTTACAATTCGCAACGTCTGTCATTTTCCAGCACATGAACCGAACTGGATCAATATGTGGACTGTGGATCAGCACACGTTCCAATTCCGAGGTTTTCTGCTTGGCCACTGCCGTGCCAACGCCTGTTCTTGGGTATGCAGTTGTAGCTAGAATGACCACGGTTGTAACCCTCACAAGTCGGGATACAACCCCTCTATATAATCTTGGCTATGTGCCGATTTATCAAATGGAACTGCGTCCCCAAGTGGGGCGTCGATCCCAATCAGTGGGTAATCACCATATTGTATAGCTGAGTTATGTAATTTAAGGATTTTCCCCAGTTTTGTACACACACACACACATATATATTTATATATATATATATGTATGTATATATATATATATACACATACATATATTCTTATTGCGGGCTCGGAGACAGGAACATTAATGATTAATGTAGACTAATTATGAACCACTTACCAGTGGGTCCTCCTTTTTTTGGCATCCAGGAGTCCGGAATTGTGATGCCCAGTGGAGGCCCATGGCTGCAGCTTGTGCGAAAGGCCTTCGCCTCGTGCGCGCGCTGCTCCAACTCTTGTCGTTGTGCCTGGGATCGCGTCACCCGTTGGGCCCGTTTTTTTAGAGGTTCATACCCTCAACATATATCAAAATATGGTATAATATGGCATAATACGGTATAACATGGTATAACCATGTATAACCATCATTAAACTATATTAAACTTCCATTGAACCAAGATGGTTATGCAGGTTTTGACCACCCCCCATAGACAAAGTAGTGGAAAACCGATGGACCACTCTAAAACAAGATGGAAGCCACGAACCCGAATGTATTCACGTTCTTGGACTACGAGTGAAAACCTCTGCAATAGGAAAACGAACCTTTTTTTTCATGCATCGTGCGCGCATATCGTCTCAGCGAAGGCACCTGATCAACAGTTCACTAAGAGACAACTAACGCACAAAGACACGCATGGAAAACATCGCTTGAAGACAGTACATATTTCCCCTGTTACCAGTCTGCAGTGTGGAGTGGAAAGTGTAGAGTGTGGAGTGTGGAGTGGAAAGTGTAGAGTGTGGAGTGTGGAGTGGAAAGTGAAGAGTGTGGAGTGTGGAGTGTAAAGTAAGGAGTGTGGAGTGTAAAGTGTGGAGTGGGGAGTCTAGAGTGTGTAAAGTGTCGAGTGTGGAGTGTAGAGTGAGGAGTGTGGAGTATAAAGTGTAAGACCTGCCAGTACTACTTTGTAGTACAAAGCTTGCACAAAATACTTCCCAGTACCACTTTGTACCACAAAGCTTGCACAAAGCACTTCCCAGTACTACTTTATACTACAAAGCTTGCGCAAAGCACTTCCCAGTACTACTTTGTACTACAAAGCTTGCACAAACTACTTCCCAGTACTACTTTGTACTACAAAGCTTGCACAAAGTACGTCCCAGCACTACTTTGTAGTACAAAGCTTGCACAAAGTAGGTCCCAGTACTACTTTGTACTACAAAACTTGCACAAAGTACGTCCCAGTACTACTTTGTAATACACAGCTTGCACAAACTACTTCCCAGTACTTTGTACTACACAGCTTGCACAAAGTCCTTCCCAGTACTACTTTGTACTACAAAGCTTGCACAAAGTCCGTTCCCAGTACTACTTTGTACTACAAAGCTTGCACAAAGCACATCCCAGTACTACTACAACGCTTGCACAAAGTCCTTGCCAGTACTACTTTGTACTACAAAGCTTGCACAAAGCACTTCCCGGTACTACTTTGTACTACAAAGCTTGCACAAAGCACTTCCCAGTACTACTTTGTACTACGAAGCTTGCACAAACTCCTTCCCAGCACTACTTTGTACTACAAAGCTTGCACAAAGGACTTCCCAGTACCACTTTGTACTACACAGCTTGCACAAACTCCTTCCCAGTACTACTTTGTACTACAAAGCTTGCACAAAATGCTTCCCAGCACTACTTTGTACTACAAAGCTTGCACAAAGCACTTCCCAGTACTACTTTGTACTACAAAGCTTGCACAAAGCACTTCCCAGTACTACTTTGTACTACAACGATTGCACAAAGCACTTCCCAGTACTACTTTGTACTACAAAGCTTGCGCAAAGCACTTCCCAGTGCTACTTTGTACTACAAAGCTTGCACAAACTACTTCGCAGTACTACTTTGTACTACAAAGCTTGCACAAAGTACGTCCCAGCACTACTTTGTAGTACAAAGCTTGCACAAAGTACGTCCCAGTACTACTTTGTACTACAAAGCTTGCGCAAAGTACGTCCCAGTACTACTTTGTAATACACAGCTTGCACAAACTACTTCCCAGTATTACTTTGTACTACACAGCTTGCACAAAGCACTTCCCAGTACTACTTTGTACTACAAAGCTTGCACAAAGCACTTCCCAGTACTACTTTGTACTACGAAGCTTGCACAAACTCCTTCCCAGCACTACTTTGTACTACACAGCTTGCACAAAGGACTTCCCAGTACCACTTTGTACTACACAGCTTGCACAAACTCCTTCCCAGTACTACTTTGTACTACAAAGCTTGCACAAAATGCTTCCCAGCACTACTTTGTACTACAAAGCTTGCACAAAGCACTTCCCAGTACTACTTTGTACTACAAAGCTTGCGCAAAGCACTTCCCAGTACTACTTTGTACTACACCAATTTTGATACTTTCGACACGTTATCAAACAGGTTGGAATGTTACAAAGTGCCACGCCTGCCACGCAAAACGACATGACAACCTGTTTGGAAACCTTCGAAAAGGAGAGGTTTTGCAGCTTCCCCCATAGACACGGAATAAACGACGCGACGACGACGCGACGACGACGCGACGACGACGCGACGAGCCACTTGAGGCGAACAAGGGTCCAGCCCCCAGACCCCCAGACTATAAACGGGAACCCTTTGCTACGCATTCGGGAAAAAGCTGGTACATGTTGTAGATTCTGCGTTAAACACAATCCAAATGATATTGGAGATGTACAGGAATCGACATGGGAATTTGCGGGTGCTAAGGTGCTACATGCGCCCATCTTACTTGCCTCCTCAGTGCAAGGTATAGCCGCGACTAAAGTTCCAATAGAGAGGCGGGCTTGGTGTATGTATGCAATGTAAAGAAATGCACATGCAATGAAAGGTATGCATGCATATGACTGTATATGCCTGTACGTGTTTTTATATGTAGATATCTATGAGCCCGAACTTATTTGCCAACATTTTACCCACAGTGGTTGTGCAAACTTGGAGTTAAACCCCGCTTGCCATGAACCAGATAAAAGGACAAATCCCTGGGTGACATTCCCATCATGGGCCTCCTAACTATGGGTTGAAATATGTTGAAATTGCATAAATTTCTGAATGCTCATGATTTTCAATGGCTTAAGTTCTGATTGGCCAAACTTGTTCGCAAAGCCTACGTTTGCCAGTCCATTCACGCATATCCTTTGACAGGCTGAATCCTTGCATGGGGACCGTGGGGACCGTGGGGATAACATGTTTGAACAACAAACCTCGAAGCCGCAAAAGCCTTAAACACCTAAAGTCAAAATCGCTGCGAAAAGCCAGTGTTTTCGTGCATCCCCTGGCGCCAAACAGATCGTGGGATAATTATTAGATATTATTAGATGATATGATCTGTGAAACGCGGGGGGAGGAAACTTGTTCCATCCTTCTTTTCGGGGCTGGCTTTCCCATAATTTCATGGATTTCATGAGTTTTCATAGGTCAAATCATGGGTCAAACCACCATTTTTGACATTTTACATCTGGAGGCTTCCTGAAATGGGTACCCCTAAATCATCATCCATGTTCACATGATTTTCATTAAACTATCTATTAAAAATATAAGCCACCCAGCTATTGGGATACCCAGCTGCCAGGCTCTTTAGCTCGAAGAAGCGTCCCAGGCCACTGACCACCACAGGAGCTCCCTCCGACAGAGCTTTGGAGCAAAGCTCGGGGCCTTGGTTTGGCGACCTGTGGGGTTGCCAAAGGTCGCCAATTGTGGACATTTTGGACCCATCAAATTGGGGACATTGACATAAAATAAATTCACCAGCATTGAGGATATCTCCAATCTGGATCCAATCTGGAGGCTTGAGCTTAACAAGAATTGGGGATATTTCTTGTAGCAAGAATCAGGATATCAGGCACTGAGTAAATGGGGATATTCACCAACTAGTCACGGTGACGACTGGCTGGTTTGACTCCCTTAAAAAGGTGTCATTGGGAATCATCATCCATCAGCCAGATTCCCACATGCTGCACGTCTCCATGGCAATCAGCTCACATTTACCCAGAAAATGACCCAACAGTATACGTAGGTGTACCATAAATGGATACATCAAACATGATCAGGATTCCTATTTAAATGTAGCCAGGTGAAAACCATCACCAAACCACCCGCTCACTTTTTTTTTGGGGATGTCTATTGAACTCTCTCGATTCAAACATTACCACAATCACCGACATACACTAAATTTCCGCTGATATAATTGGCTTAGAGAGGAAGTGTCAAGCATTTCAGGAAAAGTTGACTGGGGGGTTCCACTGGTGTCATGCCGAGCTTCGAAAAGTGCAGCCTGCCGCCTCTGCTCGCATCCTTTCCTCGTGCCGCTGAAGCAACAGTTCCGCCCTCCGATCTTGCTGCTGCCGAATGCTTTCCTTAGCAAATCACGAGGCTGTCGGGCCGTCATAACTTCAAGAGTCACATGCTCAATGATGCTCAATCTAGAATACTTCCAGAATCGTCCAAATGGTGTTGCGATATGTTTTGGAATGATCTGACGCCAACGACAGGGGGGCACACCCAAGCAACAGCACCAGGGGGGGTGGTGTTGCCACTTGGTGACGGGAGAGGACAGCTCCCAACCTCCTGTGCTGCAGAGTCACCATGATGTCTGCCTCAATACGTGCTCCCAAGCTCTACCGAGTAAGGTTATCGCGGGTGCCAATGGGATGAGTTGAACTTGAGCATGTGTGGTCGCCGGGAAAAAATCATCAAAACCAGCTAGCCACATACATCTTTAATCATCTTTTTATGTATGCACTCTCCCCCTCTCTCTCTCTCCAATTACTCCAGTCATCACGCAGACTCCAAATAAACAAACCAGTTCACATGCTTCGTCCGCACACAAACATGCCGCGCTCAATGGAATCAATGGCAGTTTGCCCTGTAACTCCCTGTTGGGAAGAATGGGGATCTCATATAATATCATCATTGGGATATCATGGGATATTGGATTCCTGACCGAAGGATATCACTACCCTAGTTGTCGGCTGGGCTGGGCATGGCTGTGAGATAGGCCAGCTCCGAGCCGGACATGGCATGCCAAAAACTCACAAGTTTTCCTAGCTGAAAAGCCCGCCATTCACATCATTCGCCAAGTTTTTATTTGATGAACCACCACTTTCTCATACTTTCCCGTTGTTGTCACCAGCTTAAAAGCTAATTTTTCCCCAACTTTGTGCAAGCACACCTACTGGAAGCGGGCCTTCTACTTTACAGGTTGGTTTACACCGCCATCTAATCAACTATAGTCTGATTTATCATGAAATCTCATGATATATCCACCCCATAACCCTTAGTTCTCATTTCTTATCATCCTTGTTAACCAACTTAATCCAACTGACCCAATCTTTCGGGTAAACCTTCACCACTGGACCAAGGTCCACCCGCGTCCAGGCACTGGCGTGGCATAGTGCGGCTTCACGTGCGCAAAACATGCGCGACTTCGAGGGTCCGGCTGGGGTTGGAAATCACGCCTGGAGTTCCTATGGAGGTTTGAGATGGACCTGGGGGATACTTGGAGGATCACTCCTAAGTGGCTAATAACCATAGCCAGTTCACCCATTTATAGATGGGATATGATGGGATAACGAACTTGGGGAACTTGCCAAGGTTGCTAACCAATTACTAAGTGGGACGATCCTCCAAGTCCCGAGTCATCTAAGGTTGCTGGGAAATCCATGGAAATCCCCGTGTCGCCATGGAGCTGTTATTGGGATCTGAATTTATCGGGGAATTTCCCAGCAAGCCATGCTTGATGGGGGACATCATGGATATGGCCAGCTCGATGGATACGAAAACTGGAGCGCCTTGGGGAGTTGGCTGCCTCCCGGGCGCGCCATTTGGCTTCGTCGTAGAGTCTCTGGTGCACTCCTGAAATGGCTGTCATCTAACATGGAAACTACAAGGCATCCCTGAAACCTCTACCAAACATGCAAGCCAATGTAAGCTATTGCAAGATGAAACCTCTCAAGATGGATTTGGACATGATTTTCCTGCTTCACTTTCAACTGAACGGCAACATTTTTTTGTGCTGGGAGAAAATCGGGACATGGAAGTGATGGGGGTTCAGCACTGGCGTGGTCTTGCTGGATTGGACCGTTGGACCTTCCAGATCGGATCCTATAGGATCCGATCATATAACTTTTTTCAGGGATTTTCAAATCAAGTAAAGTCACAAGTTTGGGAGCCCCCAAGCGACTCCCAAACATCCAGGTGAAAGATGTCATCACGAAGCTGTCCTGAAGGTGATGATGCTCTCCTCGACATTGCGATCCTCAGCAGGGACTTAAAACAATCAGCCAGATCTGTCCCAGATCTGTCTACAGCCTGAGGCTAGCTGATGAACACCTGTCTTCAGGAGCAAATGATGAAGAATGATGACAATTCAACCAACTGCTTGTTTATGGCTATGGTGATGGTGTTGATTCCTGGGTTATACAGGCTGTAGTGATCATCGGTCCCCTTGGTAATGAAATCACCAATCCCCAAGCTGATAATCTGTAATAGAAAATGATGACTGTGACCATACTGAGAATCATGTCAAGTTCCGAGGCATATACTGCAAATCGCTTGTTCCTGGATCGGAGCAACTCTTTTGGCACCAGCTCGGTTAGAATAGGTGTTGTTTCGGACGAGTTGTAAGGGAAGTAACCCTCGGGCTCGATGCTAGGGATGCAATTGAATCCCTTAGGTATCTTGTGGGATGGGGCTGGAAGGCCCCTGATTCCAATACTCATTTGCGGTGGTTTTGGATGTTTTGGACCTCATTTCTTCGCAGATTACCCCAGCTAAATCGCGGAACATGGATCCCACATGGGTTTTCCCTGGGTTTTTCCAGATCCGAGCTGCGCTTCGCTCTGTGGACTCAAAGCTGGTCGAAAAGTGCAGTCCCTGGGCCAGCGATGGGGATCCATGGGGATCCCCATGCAGCAAGCAGGAATTTTTAGATGACCCTGGAATTGCAATTCCAAAGCTTAGGGAAGTCTTCGGTGTTTATATTAATCAAAACAGGGGTTCCCTAAATTTGCGGGTTCAGCATTTTCAGTATACTACCAATTCTCAGATGCATCCGTTTTCTGTTCCAGTCTGTGCCTGTCTCTGGACGCCCGCAGCTCCTGCTGGTGCAATTGCCTGCGATTCACATCTTTCACTGCAAGTCTTTCAATTCGATCTTCAGGCGTCTCGCCAATCCTGAATTCAAGTCCCGAGTCCATGACCGTTATGCATTGCTTTGGTAGTAGATCTGGTAGTAGATTTATACTGTACATGTTGGGGTCCATTTATATTATTTATAAGAGGAAGCTGAATCATCAATTCACTGGGTTGGTTTGATGTATGAAGGGAAACCATGGAAACGATGATCATTCTCTGAAATTTGGGACATCCCATCAATTATCACCCAACTTATCTGGGTTTGTGTCTAAAATGCAGAACCCCAATTTCATGGTAATAGTTCCCCAGTTTCAGACACAGCCAAATACGGTATCATATCGGGATAGGTTAGGATATGTTAGAGACCTCCCAGTTATATCTCTATATCATATGGGGTTTCCTAAAATTGGGGGAACCCAAATTGAAAGCTGTGAAACCTATGGTCTTGGGGTACTCTCATGTCACGGATTTCCCCATATCCCCATAGCATACTGTAGCCCGGGGCACAGCCAGCACCAGTGGCAGCTTCGTTTCCAAGGTGCAGTTCAACGTTGCACGCGGTGATCTGCTCGCTTTGATCGCTGATCTTTGGCCTGTCGTTGAGAAACCACCGATGGCGACATGTTTTCACCATCTTCAAGCCCAGTTTGACCGCTGAAAAATGTGAACCAAATCCAAACCATGAAATGGTGGAGTTGTTCAAAGATGTTTTACATGTTTTTTCGCCGCAGCTCTTTGGAGATCCGGCTGATCCGGGTGACTTGGCCATGGGAAAGGGACGCCTGAAGGAACAGCAGGCATGCTGTTCTCGCACTTCTTGCCGAAACTGGCGCTCCTTCTGAAAACTGACTTGGCGGGCGAGAAAGTCCTCCAGCAAGGGGGGCAGGGCATCTTTTTGTGCGCAAATAATGTCTGATTCTGTTTGGATCTGTTTGGTATACAGTTCACACAGTATATACTTGCTCTGAACACCAGCTTTGCTCAACAGCTCCAAACAAAAATTGGAAAGGTCATACTCTCCGTTTTTGAGACTTCCTCTTTCGAGTGCTAAACCCGGAGTAAACAAAAACACAGGGATAATCCAGTTCTAATTTTAAATGGCACATCCATATTGACACTCCTGACACAAAATACCACCAAACGAAACGCTGGTTTTGCACTGGCCCGGTCTTCAATTGTTTGATGATTGAACTTACATATTTATACATATTTGATGTTGACACCTTCATTTTTTTATTGTTAAACAATCATTTCTGCTGGTGAACCCTCCGTTTTTCATGGTATCAACATGTATCAACCATCCCCTGGTTACCATGTCCTGAGGACGACCTGACACCTGTGAAGCTTTGCCAGGATTTGCCAGTGTCCTGCGGTTTGGCATTGACATGTTTCGGCATGTGTACTGTATAGATATATCATGACATTATCATGACATATCATGAATCATTGAATCATAAATCATCCATAATCACTATAAAATGAAAATGAAGACTGTATGAGTGTATGCATGTGCGCATGTGTATATATATAATTATATATATATATTATAGAGATTGGATTAGTACGGATTAGTTCGGTTAGATTGATTTAGATTGGATTCGATTAAAAAATAGTGTGCGATAGTGTGCGTGTGTCTGTGTGGGTGGGCCTGTATGGAATTACCGGCGGCAAGAGCGGATGTCCTCTGCAAGCTATCGCCATCCTTTGCCCCTGAATCCACGCACGCCTGCAACGGACAGTATGATCATAGTATGATGACCCTTGACACGCCTTGAAACCTGTTTGAAGCATCGCTCCCCTGCCTCCGTTTGCTCCAGTTCGACTTTGCAGTCGACACTTTTGGACCTGGTCCCCAGCCTGGGCACTGCGGTGAATATTAACGACGCCCACAAGATATCGAAGACGTTGAAGTTGGTGTACTTGGCCATTTACCCTCTGGTAAACTAACATAGCTATTGAAAATCGCCATTTTTAATATAGGTAAACCACCTATAAATGGGTCATTTCCCATGGCTATGTTAGTCATAACCAGAGGGTACTTGGATCTACTTGGATCTACTTGACTGAACCCTACGTCCCAAGGTGAAGCCAAATGGTGTTTCCCACCTTCTCTGCGCAAGCTGATGGCTTTTTGCCGAGATCCGTGGGGTGAAGGGGTGTGATTGCCTTGAGGCGGGCTATTGGTCCCTTGTTGAGGGCTATAGCGGCTATTTCATAGTGGGGAGAACAGGATTCAGATGCTTTTCATGGGATTTTCCATGGGATTTCCCCATCAAAATACATGATAATAAAATATAATAAATGCACCCAGATCAAGGGAGATTTCTTCCACTATGGGGGTTCCTCATTGTCATTTAGACACAAGATCACAAGATCAATTAGAATTTCTGCCTTCACTGGTGCTTGGGGATTACATGGGATTGCCATGCACTGGTTGCCAGGTTTGATCACGAGGGGCCAAAATGTCACAACAACTCCAGACAACTGGAATGCACCTGAGACCATTAGAGTATCTTGACATGGCTTCATTCTGTTCCATTGTATGTTCATGCCATGGTACAGGGCTAAAAACAGTTCTTTCATGTGGTTTTTGAAACTCATAGTAACTCCTTGGCCTCCCATCTAGGGAATATGGATAACCATAGCTCCTAAGGCTCCTAATATAGTTCTTATCAAATCCCAGAGGAGACTTTAATCAGCTCCATGTCACTTGAGCTTTGCTTCTTGGCTGGCCCGGATCTTCTCCTGCCCAACTACCCTCCGGTATTCCCACCTGGCAATGGACAACACAACCCACAAATTTCTACATTATTTTTAGATCCAGAAACCTGAACGGCACTGAACCTCGGAAATCTAATTAAGATAAATAATAATAAATAATAATCATATTTGCGGAAATCAAAGCCTCTGATGTGAAAGGTGTTGCAGCTAGGGGTCAAAACATGCGTTGAAAACTCACTGGGCCGTTGTGAGACAATTTTATTGCACGTTAAAGACAGTCACAGTAAGTCGGTGCCACACGATCCCATGGGAAACTTGAGGGCAAACTATGGAAGGACCTATGGAAGTCGTTGAACGACTTCCGCAAGTTGTGGTGATCCTGGGATCTTAAATGATGAGACACTAATTTGGTATCTCTGATTTTTGGATGTCTTAAAGATACAGTAACTAGGTGCCTGAATGTGATTTCCGTTGCCAGGATTGATTACCAAAGGGTCCTGGCCCTTGCCCCTTGCCCCGTCCTGTTTGTATTGTTGGATGGCCTTGGTCCTCAAATGCAACGGCACTCGGTCGTCCCAACCATCAGACCGCCGGTTGATGCGCGGTGTAAAGGTGCACTCATAGAGATCCTCGGTGAGAACAGCTGCACCCGGAACCCATAAGTTTCCACTATTTTCCACCACTTTCCACCATTTTCATCAATTCTCCACCATTTTCCATGCCAGTTCAAGCCAAGTAGCATCGGCTTGGAGAATTTCTTTGGCCTCAAACGCCAAGTCGTGGAATGAATGTGCTGCTCCAAACTTAAAACCCAGTGATGGAACATGAGATGCAACTGCCCAATGCCTTTTGTTGCATGTTTTTGCTTTCCCACTACTCATGTACTGGGCCCAGTTCCCACATTGACAGCTCTACCATGCTCTACCCCATTTCAGCTGCACCTGGTCTCTCAAAGCGGACCTGCACTGGGACCATCAAGCAACCACAGGCAGAAGTGCAATGCACAGCATTCTATACAGCTGTTTCAATTGAGCTTCGGTACAAATCTTCCAGCATCTGTGTCTGAAAATGGGGTGCCCCTAAATCCACTGGTGTCCCTTTCTCTCTCTCTCTCTGTCATCATTTTTGCATCTTCATATTTGTCCGTTAGTGACTGAGTGAAATTGCGACATTGCCATGTTGAGGGGTATAAAAAATCATGGTCAAATGCAGCCATTTGTCAAACCATCCCGCCTCCGTCGCGCATCGTTGGGCCCAAGCCTCTCTGGCAGGGCCTCTGCGTAGCAGCCCCGGGCTCTTTGCGCAACGACCTGGGACCTCGGCGACGTCGCTCGGCGCGTCGCAACTCCAATGGTGGCAGCATGTGGCAGCTGGGAAGTTCCCAACTGCGGCTCACTGGATTGTTGATTTCGACATGTCTTGACTCTTACGTACTCCTACCAACAAAAAATGAATAAAATTGGAAGATACCCAAGTGGCAATGGTGCTCAATCATCCAAGTGTGAAAGCCGCATAAAGCCGCCATCAAACAATAGCACAGACATGATGACCCCATCTTTTTCCCGCCTGTTGTTGATGACAGGATGAAAGGTACAGTGTTTTGTCAGCTCCACCTCCTGACCAGGGAGAGGGCAGTGAGCCCAATTTCTAGATGTCCACCATGCCTTTCCAAAGACATTTTGTTGCCACAAAGATGCTCAGAAAGGCTTGGGACATGGAATGAAAGACATACCAATATCATCCAATATCAAGAATTCAACAGGAATCAACGTTGGTTAAACATGGTCAAACCACAATCGCCCTGCCAAAATTGCACAGGCTGCCACAGCAGGCCTGAGCGCGACGTCGGAGGTCTAAGTTCTGCTGGTACTGCTTGGAGCTGTCGCGAAGACGTTCCTTAAAACCTCACGTGACGCGCTGAAAAAAGTGGCCCTCTTCAGGCGTACCGAGTCATAGCCATTTCAGTAACGGTTGAATACCCTCTGGTAATGACTAACATAGCTATTGAAAATGGCAGTTTATAGTGGATTTTCCCACTAAAAATGGTGATTTTCCATAGTTATGTTAGTTTACCAGAGGGTATCCCAAAGTTACAAAGGGATCATGGAAAACACCGTGCGAAACATTTCAAACGGTTGGAGGGACATGGAACTCTGGGCAAAAACATCCTGAGTCCACCACTACGCGATGACGCTGATCGAACATAGCCATCTTGGCCTGCTGAAGGACCGTCCTCCATGGCGTCCAGGGAAAGTTCATGAAAGCCATGGGGCGCTACTTCAACCTCTAACAGTCATGACAGCTAAGATAGCTAAGAAAAAACATCGAGTCATCCAAAATACATGTGCATATCTGGATGTGATATGTTTTTTCTTAGGGGGTAATTATGACAAGAATTTGTGTACACAAACTATATTCTCAAATGTTTCTAGCCGTTAGCTCCGGAGATATCCCGGTCCTCCAGTCTGCAGCCACAATGACGACAGAAGGGACAGGTCTTGAGCACATCTTTCCCACAGCGCCGGCATCCCTGCAACTTGGGATGGTTAGTAGCCTACCGGGGATGGTTTGTTAGGCTTACCAGTTTGTCACAAAACACTGCCTAAAAGAACAACTTTTACACCATCTCTGCTGCCATTTGCAGGTGTTATTTAGTGCGATTTGCGGATTTTGGATCTCTCTCTCTCTGTTTTTCATGGTTTTTCCGGATCCAAACAGATCAATCTGTAGAAACCATCAACAAACTGGCACAAAAAATGGCACATCGCAGCTCCCATCGACCTCCAACAGCTCAGGTTCCCAAATGCCTTGGGACCCCAAAATGAAGTGCTGTTTGGGAGGTTCCTTCATATTTGAATAAAAATGAATAACAAACAATGACTTGAGCTGATTTCATGATATTTCATGCGGATAAATATGAACTATACTAGTAATATGGACTTTTAAACTAATCATCTTTAATCTCATATATACCCATGGCATGAACATCTCATGACCTGAATCTGGGCATTGCTGGAACGAGCAGCTCGCTGGGGCGATGGTCTCTGTGTCCTCGAGAGATGACTCAAAAAGTGCTTTGCCATGGCTTTTCCAACCAAAAATTGAGAGTTGGAGATTTAACCAACAAATAATTTGTCTGGGGCTTAATGGGGTTTAACATGGTTAAACCAACCAGCGTGAGTAGTTATTTTAAAGATGTTTGGATTTAACCAACATCGCCCGACCAACATGGATCTCCATTAAAAGTTGTTCAAAGTGAACCAACAAAATGAAGATTTAACCAAAAACACATGGGAAATTTGTGCAAAATAGTCACATATAGTGACTAATGAACACGGTTACTTGCCAGTGTCTTGACCTGTCGGCATCTTTGTCCTGATAGGTCAGTGAGAAACTTTGTCTCGGGGTCTCGTTCAGCACCGTGTCAAAGGACGGCAGCAAGGAACGGGGTCGATCCGCTCGATCCTCATACCTGGCAGCGAAGCTTTCTGAAACAGCCAGGAAAATTAGGACACAAAATTGGTGAATGGTAACCTGGTTGATGGTGGTTTCAACCCCTCTGAAAAATATGAGTTCGTCAGTTGGGATTATGACATTCCCAATATATGGAAAAATAAAACATGTTCCAAACCACCAATCAGTAATGTACCTGGTACAATGAATGATACATTTCCTGGTACAATTCATGAAACAAAATTTCGTGAATGGTAATTCTCAAGATGGATGGCCCTGAATGATCCTCAATGGCAATATACCTGAGCTCGTTCTCAAAAACTCGACGGACGGAATCTCTGGCATTGATCGTCTGGTCAAACTACTTCAATTCCCCAATTTCTTACCCACAAAACTGGTGGAATCTCTACCCAACCCACGGACTCGAGGTGAAATCCTTATATGGTTGACGAAGTTGATGACCCCCGTCTATGGTTTATATCCAATTTACGCCTCATGTTTCCAGACAGTCGGGGTAATTATAGTATTTCTTTGACAGGTCTCATGTTGATGGTGGATTTTCCCTAATCCCGCAACTGGCTTGTCTGAAAATATGGTACCAATGTACCATCCAATTTAATGGTCAATCATCCTTTTCCCTGCTAAACCATGCTAAAGTTGCCATTTTAATTTTCAAACAAACCCATGATATATGAATCATGTAGCCATGGTATACCGACTAGGCAACACTTGAAAACATGGAACACCAACTAAATAACTATACATAATTATACACTATACCCATAACAAAGCAATTTCTTTAGCCGTTACACAGGGACAAATTACATACGAATAATGTGGCCATAACTGCTAACTACCCGTAGTATATATAATAGCCATCAAGTATTTGCAATATAACAAACAACGCTTGATTATTGCTATATTGTGGCTATATATATATATATATCATATATAACATATAATAACAATGATATATATATATATACATATATATATATATACACATACATGTACATTATACATGTGTATATATATATATATATATGTGTGCGCGTGTCTGCGTCCATTGTGTGTATTAAAATAAATAAAATAACATGGTCTTAACTAATTATATATATATATATACACACATATAGCGTGTATATATATATATAATTATATATATATATATATTATATGCATACATCTACTATAAGGTGATTAATGGTAAATTAATTATATACCTATAACAAATCGAGGTACGTGTTTGGAATCTCAGTCTCCGCCAGCTTCTGCTCCAAGCGCTGCCGTCGTTCCTCCAGCAGCTGCTGCACCAGCTGCTGCCGTTCGTTCGCTTCACTGCGTGGTGATGGCGGAGATCCGGTGCCCATGGTGCTGAGCCAAGGCTAAGGTGAATTTCATCGAAGCACTATATATATATAATATATATGTGTAGATCAAATTTAAATATGATAGATACATAGCATATATATATATGATTGTAACTGATAGTATATATATATATAGAGGTATATATAATAAACAGATCATATAACTTATTACAGGCTTCTATGGAAGAAAGTAAAGCAATTTTTACATGTGTTATTTTGCCTGCATGTATGTCTGCCATGTACTCTATACACACATGTGCGTACTATGTCTCCCTGCTTTAAAACACATATATTATATGCCGGTATATATATATATAAATATGAAATTAAAGATATGATGTAGAAGAAATGATCCCAGTGAGACAAACAGAGGGAATTGCTTTGCCAATATATTAGTCAATATTCAAGGAGGCTCAAGTACCTGGCGTGGTTGGTACGTGATTGGATCTGATAGTGCTATATCTGTTGGCACCAGCAACGGAGACATGATATCAGTGTACAAAGCAAACTAAGTGAGACACACACGCAAAAACATGCACACACACACACATGCACACACACACAACGCATCCTCGTCCATATCATACACGAATTGTACATCCTTACCCCCCAACAAAAATATATCCAAACACCTGGGCAAGATGGCTTTACACGGGGGCTCTTGAAATGCGGAATCCGCAAAACCATGGGTTTCAATGCTAAACTTGTCTAATTTTGGATGGCCTCCATTTCAAGAAACCTCCGGATAATTGACATTAATATACATTACCCTCTGGTAAATTAACATAGACCCTGAAAATCACCAATTTTAAGTGGAAACTAATCTTCCAATCCCTATCTGGCAGGGTCTATATTAATTTACTGGAGGGTAATTAATTGCATCTCATCCATGGTACGGATCGCCCCGTGGTCGACTCTGAAGCTTTTCGCAGCAAAACGATCGGTCACTCTGCACGTGGCAGTGAAGTCCACCCAGCAGGGCGGACTTGAGAAGCTGCTGGTCCCACGTGGCGGTTTCAATGGAACCCGTTGGGTGTAGACTCTCAGGTAGATGAAATCTAATGACATCCGTTCAACAGATATGAATCCATGGACATTGGAATGACGTATTATATTAGTGGATATATGTCCAATATGTATTGCGGGATGTTGTGGGTATATCTGGTGTGTTCAATTTGACCAGTCTGCAGGGACCCCGCACATGATGACAGTCAACATCTGGTCCCCTTGACCAGATGAGCTTGGGTTGGTGCTGTGGCTGCCTTAGCAAGTCCTGCTCCCATCGTAAATCTGTGGATATTACTAGACATCACTAGACATATTGATGAAATAAAAAACCCATTTTAAGCAGCCAGCGCCATAATACGGCTAGATTCCATTTCATCTGTTCGCGACATGTTCTTTGGCAAAACGAGAGTGATGACACGAGCATGCCTTTGGCACGAGAAACTGCCAGCCATCGGACTTCGACGTCAAGAAAACTTCTGAGATCGGGGAATCTGCGGGAGCAAACTCCCCTTAATATCCAGTAATTGTCTAATTTTTGGCTCAGAGGGCGATTACTTTATATTACTTTGACATCTTCAAGGCTGGCTGGAGATTGCTAGTCGCTAGCTCCCTCATCTGCCAAGAACCTGCGCAAGGGGAAACGCACGGTGGTTCTCCTGAATAACAGTACCACAGATCCAACAAATCCAATACTCTATCAGGAATTCTACAGGGTGTTTCTCATCATCTGATGAATCAATACTACTTTTAGGATCTTTTAGGATCCAAGCATCTGTACTATATTTGTATCATTGTGATTCATTGTGTATCTTGATGAATGACTCAAGTTACTTTGATTGCGGGGAAGCGATTGAGTTCTGCGGGGGCCATTCCGACCATTCCCCTCGCTCACCGCATCCGTGCGGTCCGTGCAGAAGGCGCAAGCAGAGCACTTTTCTGGAAGCGCTGACCCAGGGTTGCGGGGCCAGTCTGAAAGGGGTAAGCATGGCCCGGGCTGGACATCAGTTCAAATACAAATAAAGAAACAATGATGGAACAATTGCAGGTAATTATATATATACCCATTTGCGCATAGTATAATTTAACACACACACATCCCATTTATGCAGACACATTACAGTTCAAGATGGTGCGCATTGATGACAGGCATCCACAAACATGAGATCTCCGGAATGTTCCGAGCGCCAGGGTGACCTCCATCACCTAAGCAACAAGTCACCCTGATGCGAATTCGGCGCCGTGGCACCTGGTCTTCGGCTGGGTCAGGTCTTGCAATCTTACCTCAAAACTATCAACAGCTAGTGCTGAAGCTTCAATGTCAATCACCTTTCTTCACTGACTTCTTCACCTTTCTCATGGATTTTGAGAGCGTCATTGCGCTCACAGCCTCAGGCAGGCCTGAAATTGGTCTTGATCTGTGAGAGTCAACAAAGAATCTCAAGTTTCGTTGATCTTCGTTGAAGCCCACATTGGAACGCCGGGAAAATTCCTATGCCTATAAGTGGTGCTGAGGTGGGCAAGCTCAGTCGATTTGGATCCAGTTGGCCGTGGAGTCTCCCACCATGGCCAGTTGATGGATGATTTAGCGACCAAAGATGATTCAGTGCATACAGGCCGTTGCATATGTCTTGGCCCCTCCGGCCGATGGAGTCTTCTGTGTTTTCATGATTTTCCAATTTCAGGTATCTGGTCAGTGACCAAAGCGCCAATCCAAATCTATGAGCCCTTTCAAAACCCACCCCACCATCCGAGACGAGTTCCTTCCATTTGCGGCAGGAACTCTGAAAATTTTCCCGAGAGCAAGCCTGGGAGCCTGCATGACTCAAACCCTTGGCCCCTCACGATCTCATCATATCTCATCTTTATCTTCTCCATTTGGCTCTTGTTTAAGTCATGGAGGACTCTCTGCCGGGCAGTTTGCAAATCGCTACGAAAATCTGAAGATTGGTGCTCAAAGTTTCCACCACAGCTGCCAAAGCAACAGGTGACCGATGAAAACTGAATGGTAAGCTTGTCAATCGAAAGGTGGTGGGGGTATGTTGAGTTGGTTATGGATCAAACCCAAGGCATCCTGAACATCACAAATACTCAAAGCTGGATCTGCATCCCTCCTTTAAATGGTCTCATAGGTTTTGGACCAATCCAAATTTCATACTTTCCACCCCAACAATCCGATGTATTTTGCTGCGACTGCCATATCATTGCTTCTTCTGCTGTGGATACACAAGCCTTGTCCCCAAACCACTCAGCCGGTTGTAGTTGATGGGAATATCAACCTCAGATTAGAAAGCAATTAGTAAGCAACAGTTGCTTAATTCGGCCAGTACCGCCCAAACTGAAGAGTTCCTATTCTTTATTCCCCGTAAAACATCGTGACATGTTGATTCTGGAACCGCATCATGGAAATGTATGGAAGCTTCTTGCCAGCCATATATATGGTGGTTTCCTAAAATAGGGGTACCCTAAAATCATCCAAAATTGGCTATCATCAATGACAGTGTGTCAAAACCTTGTACCCCTGGTGAACATCAAAATAGCTGGTAAATGGATGTTCATTCCCCTAAAAATGGTATTAATAGGTATTGACCCATACCCCAATAGGAAAACCAATGGTTTGGGGTATCCATATTTTATGAAACCACCATGCCTCAAGCCACCTGCAGCTCAGGAGCTCATCTGCCCCATGCTTTTGATGCAGCGGCCGCACGGCAATTGGCCTGGGAACACACAGTTCATAGCTGATCACATGAAGTGGCAACATGGGGGTTTCCAGAAATGGGGGGATCACCAAAATGGATCAAACTGGATGGTTTATAATGGAACATCCTAAATTAATTAAAACTGTTGATTTGGGAGTACCCCCATTCTAGGATATTCTAGGAAACCTCCATTTTGATCAGTAAGACATCCTTCTTCTGAGACATAATCTTACATAATCATTGGACATGTTTTTTGTTTATTTTGGGATGTACCCATCACTGATGGGTCTACATCTAGATATGCTGGGTGGATACCCTCAATTACCCATTCATTCTGGGTGTGACTCAACCACCCATTGATTTGGGAGAACTTTCAAAATCGGAGTTCCCCCAAACCATTGGTTTTCCATTTTCGAAAAATACACTGACTTAGGGTCCATGACTTTGAACACCACAAAAAACATTACAGGTGGGTTCTTAACAAACAGTTATGTAAACCACTAATTTTACCACCATATTACAACCACATTGCATCCATTTAAAATCCGATGTCTCTATCTCCATCTGCACCAAGTTTCGTAACAAAACGCAACCAACAACTGCTGCCCCTGCACCTTCCGTGCTTCCTCCTGCACCTCGCGAAGTTCGGCACCTTAGGGTCCAATGGTGCTGGAAGATGTTTAAGGTACCAAAATGTCATCCAAATGATCAGAAATGGAAAATGTAATCCACATGAAATCCAGATTTTCATTATCAAAACACAACTGGTTCTGATGAAATGATGCCATCAGCCAACTGAGGCCATTACTCAAGGCCAAACAGTTGGCCTTGGGATGGCGAGGTCACAAGTGGCTTGTGGGTTGCTGGGTTCCTAAAACGTCGCGAAATATAGATTGACATAGAAGTAACAACAAAGAAGTAACATAGAAAATTGGATCATGAATGACTGGATCTAATATGATCTAATTGGTAGATTGGGACTATCCTCCAACTTGTAGGCATGGGAACCCCAAAAACAACAGCTGTGTATTTCACCAACCCCCCCACTCTGTGGCTGGGAGCATGGCACAGCTGTCAGAGACCTGCAGCACGAATGTGGTAAACCCAGTGCCATAAACCTACCATTTGGGGATGGTTTATAGCGCCCATTTATGGTGATCCTGGGGATGGCTTATTATTGGATAAAAACCGCATTTAAAAAAATGATCCAACCTGATCAACCAATTCATGATATGGATATGAAAGGATCAAACCAACTGTTTGGATATACCCTCTGGTAAACTAACATAGCGAACTGGAAAATCACCATTTTTAATGGGTAAATCCACTATAAATGGCAATTTTCAATAGCTATGTTAAATTACCAGAGGGTGTATATATATATACATACATATTTGGGATGATCATGTATTGATATGGACAATGCGGTTGACAGCGCATGTTCACCAAATGTTGCTGGGCCAGCAGATGGGCCACTTACCGATCTCTTCGGGGACGCAAGAAATTCGCAAATGAATTTAAGTCACAAGGCTAAATTACCCCGACCAAATGACCAGTAATTATTATCCACTGACTAAACAATGTTGGGATGGACCATCGCAGTGTTGAACAATGTTGAACATGTTTGATTTATTGTTGTGCATGGCAGACTTTCACCTCCAAAACGCACCAAAAAACTCCTTGCATGGTACACGCCCGAGCCTTTGTTGAACTCTGCGAACGCAGCGCCTGGAATTTGCCCATAACACTGCCGAATAAGTTCTTGTTAATTCATGTGCCTTACCTACACCAAACCAACATAAACAAAGACCTGGCTGTTTCCTATGGCCATGTATCTGGACAAATCCGATGAAATAAGGCCATCTTGGGATGATTCCCTCTAAAAATCACGATTGCTGAGGACGCCAAGGGCATGGCCATTTGGGAATGATATTTCAGGCCCCCCAAATGGCACGCCAACCCTGAACTCATCCAGGCCTCAAGTTCTGCCTGTGTCTGACTGAGGCTGCTGCGTGCCTGGATCGCTGCGATGGATGCAGCTTACTGACTATGATGTATGCTGTATATATGTATTCATATCTGTGTACAGTATATGTATTCATATCTGTGTATATGTATTCATATCTGTGTATATGTATATATATATGCATTTGTATATATATATATGTGTATGTATAAGTATATGTATATATGTGTATATGCGTATATGCGTATATTGCATTATAATATAAAAATATCAGGATGATAGAACGAGAGCTGACCGGTGCCTCCTCAAGCTCAGTTCTGAGGCTAGATACCTGGGCAGAACATGAAACTCAGTGGAAACGCTTTTGGAAAACCCAATGAATATCTGAATCTAACATGATTTAATGGGAATACAATGGGATTTCACAGGATTTAATGGGATTTACCATCTAATTTAACATAGCTATGGACAATGACCCATAGATGATCTGCCGACATTGCGAGTTTACGAACTTCGGCCTGAGCAACTGCGGCGACTTCTTCTGCCGTTTGCTCCTGTCAGGATCACTGCCGTCATCTGTGATTTAAAGCACTTGCCTTATGCCCTTCGCAACGCTTCGCAACAAGCAATAATCATTGAATGACCAAACATGCCCCTCCCGCCGCAGCTTGGGGTTTCATGCCGGCCTATTTCACAGCCAAAAAAGGGCATCTATGGATCAGTTCACCCTGGTGCCGTTGTTTTCACCAAAAGAACAAAACAAATACCAGGTACACCAAATATCACCAAATTCTTCCAATTGTCACTTTCCCGACACTTTTTGGTTGACGAATTTCTATCATCTATAACTATAACCTATTATAACCTGATCTATATACACATACAAGTTTATATCATATCATATATCAATATGCTGCAGTACTCGCTGATATCTGTTGCTCATTTCCTCCATCATGGGACCGGGGACCGTGACGGCCTCCTGAAACTGGGACGCAGGGTAGCGCCACACAGCCAACTGCAGCACGGCTTGGGAGGTGAAAGGGCGTTCCTTTCAAATGCCAGTGGGATTACAACGGGAATATAATGGGAAATAATATGGGATTGAAATTCACTGAATCATCTTCCGATCCAATATATATATATAACAGGATGTAACAACCAATTGTCTGTTCCCATTTTGAATAGTTATCTAATTATCTAATCGGTACGCTGGGTCCCATCGGACGGTCGTGTCCCCTTGGTCACAGTCAACGAGTTTGATGAATATCTACCATAGATCCAAACTAATCTATATCTATGTTTATTAAATGGATCTACTGTCCATATAACATCATATAACCATATAAAGTATAGTTTTATCACATCCATATAAATCCAACAGATTATCTGATGTTATAAACTATACTTCGCTGACATCATTAAATCATATTGAAATCTACATCTCAACTTTTGCTGGTTTTTCGACTGACTTTTAATAGTTGAATGGTGAAACTGTGGGGCAGCACTTCTCACCTCCGCAATCTCTTCTCTTAGCACATCATGCTGGAGCTGTTCAGCCTTGGGCTGTGCTGTAAACTTTGCAGCAAATCAAAACAGCCAAGAACAGCTTTTGGAGGCAACTGCGGGGCATTGTGGGACAATCAGAAAAAATGTGGATGCTTCACCCATCTTCACGCACGCATAGTTTTCATCCAGTTTTTAGGACCAGCCTGGTACTTCTTCAACACGCCAAGTCTCTCATGACCACCGAAAAAGACTTGAACAATCTTGAACACTAAGCCGGTTATGGTTTTGGATTAATTACCACATTGCAAACCGCTTGTGCACGCATCTGCGGGGATTAAGCCTCAAGAATCCCTAATTTGCCATCCACCAATGGGGCAATCCATCAGCGCATATCTTTGCTAGCACAGGTCGCTGGTGAAACAACGATGCTCCACTTCCTAGTAGATATCATCTTTGCATCTGTTACCAGTGTTGGCCACAGCAAGCTTACACATTCAACATGGACACATGGAAGCATGGACACATATGAACACGTACAGTAGGTTTCAGCTACAGTAGGGTTATGATTTTGTCGTTTTTTTATGTTTTTTTTGGACATGGAAGTGGCAACATAAACCTACTGACGCAGTGAGACTAGCGCGGGGTAGCGCCTCGCAGAAGCTCCCGAAGTCTTCTAGATCTCGGGGGGCGGGTTGGAAGCACATGGATGCACAGAACTACGCTATGTGCTGATCACGCGGGCACCCCATGGAACTCAAAAACATGGATGGTTTTAAGGCCAAAGTACCAAGGGCGAAAATAAAGCAAACATTGCACCCTGGCATATTATGTCTTAGGGCTTTAATGGCTTTTCACCTTTTCAGTATCGCTTTGTCAGGGACAATTCTTGCATCTCCACCTAGAACATTTGCTCATCAGTTTGAGGTCAATGCGGGGATCTAGCAAAACTAAAACCACATTATATATGGGCTAGTGCTTCCCCATGACTGGAAGCTCAACCGCCAATCAATGCTCGCCAACACCACTGGAACGAAAGCCCTTGCTTTCACTGTGAAACCTGAGCTGCCATTCCTTGAGAGGGACCCTTGGACGATTTCCTCTTGGTAGCAACAAGACAACTTCAAGGTACAGGTATTGGCAGCCATGCTCAAAGCGAAACTTCCGTTTCAAAGGGCCACACTTCGAAGTGACGTGTCTTCCTATGTGCACAATCCGAACGCGAAAGAACATCAAATTTATCACACAATACCATCAACACATGAAAGCAAAAATCCAATATGCAAGGTTTGCAGGCTTAAACAATCATCATTGCACGCTTGAACGGTCATCACATGCATGTATATGATATTATATGATCATATCTAAAATATTGCATATTTAGATGTGACACACACACACACACACGCATATATATATATATATACATATAAAAATAATATATACATATGTGCATGAATTGAATCCAGTAATATCCAGTAAACATAGTGTCCATTGGTCTACCTCAACTATTCGAAGCCCAGCGAAACCCAGCGGTCAGGTGGGTTCTGACCTGGGTGCCAGGAATCAAGGGACCCAGTGGATCAAGGGAACAGGCAACAGCTCGGATTTTAGGCCCCTAGTCGTATATCCAATTATGGCAATTGAATGGGGAAATGAGGTTTTAAACCATCATCAGAGTTCTGGAGATCCTTTTTTACAGACAAAAACCATCTGGATACATTAATTATTTGGGGGCTTCTTTATATGGGGGGCCCCAAAGATGCCCAACATTGGTCATTTTTGATGAGGACACCAATGGCTTTTGGATACCCAAATGTTTGGAAGGTCCATGTGTCCAACCTCCTTACATGCTGTGGCCAAGAAACATGGTGTCCTGCAAGCTTTCCCTTCAACCAACTCAATGGTTCGGATCGGTTTGGGGGGACCAGATTTTGAAGCTGCAATTTATGCCGTCGAAAGACCCCCTGGTTGGGAGTTTCAGGATGGAAAGTGACATCATAGATTACACATATTTTGAAATCATCACCTCTTGTTAAGGACATACTCATTTACAGGATCCATAAAATCACCATAATACACACATATATATATATATTTATTTATTTATTTATCTATATGACAGGATAATTAAAAAGTGCATATTTACCACAAAAATGTAAGGATCTCGCTTGCTGTTGGACTTGGGCGTATCTGTCTCATCAATCGCCTTCTTCACCTACCATCGCATTGCGGGTTTTCGTGCGCAGCAGGGAGCCAATGTGTCAGGCTGTGCTAAGTTGTGGATGTGGAAGATGTGGAAGGATGTGAAAAATACAAAAGTCACTAAAAGTGAAGAGTGACAATGGCATTGACAAGTGTTACGGAAGGGATAGACTTCCATAGTCTTCCATATCCAATCTTGATAGCATCTGTCAGGCAGGGAATCAAGGAATCAACCGCTGATCTGCCATTTCCAGAGCCTTCATCTTCTCCTTTCGTGGAATGGACATCTTGCCTAAGATGCGGTCAACCTCGGGGGCGCATGGCGCAGCACCAGCATCACGGCATCAGCGAAGGTATCAAACAGCAGCTTTTGATCTTACAACCCCAAGATATACCAAGAAAAAACATGGAAAAAACCATGGATTAATCTTTGTGCAATATGCTGAACAAATGGTTTTAGCATGATGTAAAATTTATGTCACCCACTTGAGGATTCCCTATGGGCACGCCTGACATTGAGCCCAAGATACCACGATCTCGTCCGAACGCTGACGCAAGGCCACCTGAGCAGCAAAACCTTGCTGTGGATCATCCATCAATCAACTAGCTATTGTGTAAATTGGTATTTCAGGAGCCAGATTAGATACCAGCATGTTACAGCATGTTAGATATTATATATATATAGACTCGATATTGTTGGAATACCCGAAAGTATTTCAAAAATCCAATTTCTGGACCTTTATCACTGGCTATAACGGCTATACGTCATGGTATCTTGACACATTCAATCAATTTCAAGCAGTCTAATCAAGCCTCCTAAAACAAAGATAAACAAAGCGCATGAACCAAAGAAGTTGCTGAGCCCAACTCAATTGCTGCCCAACTGTTTCTGAACTGATTCTTACAGTCAGCCTTCTAATTTTTATATGAGATTTATTGAAAGTCTTTGGCTGGTATGCCTCCTTAGCTGTTTTATACAGTACCAATTACTAACTTCCGCTCTCTTTATTGGTCCGTAATAGAAACTTCTACCAGTATCAGCCTGGTTTTCTGATTGACCAGCATAGCCATCAGTCTGCTGTCAACCTCGCCATGAAGCGTCGCCTTCAGTCGAAGATGCAGCTTCTCTTCCCCCGCTAATCGCAAGTCCTTTTGCTCCAGCTGCCTTGCTGCACAAAGGAGAAAGAAGATATAAGAAGATCCAAACACAGAAATGTCCAGCAGTAGCCACAACATTACATATTCACGGTCTATTATCTAGTCTCTTCACATAGCGTTGGTGTGTGCGTGGCACTTTTATACGCAAACGTTACCAGCACAATGCGAAAGCCAAAGGTTTGGGATCTCGAACGACTCTTCAATGAGGAGTTGCTTCTCTAGGCGTTGGATCAACCTGGGACGTCCCGGGAAGGCTGGCTTGTGACCAGTCCAATTCACGGGAATTTATGAATCAAAAAAAAACATCGTTTCATTGGGACGATACGGAGAAACATGGAGAAACCATGGAGAAACCCTGGGATGTTGGGTACATAGCCTTTTTTCAAGCAAACCCATCGAGTGTTCCTTTCAAAAACTGATAATGGTTGAGACTCCTTCGGCCAAAACATGTCAGCAAACCAAACATCTGATGTGAAAATTAATGCCCTGGAGACATCAACTCCGTATATTTCTTACGGGGCCAATTATCCCGAAACTAGTTATTTCAGAAACCGATTCAAATGGAATCAAGATTATTAATTGGGGGGGTCCCTCGAAACAGTGATAAATTTCTGATCCAAATGACAATTGAGAGTAAAATTTGGATCATAATTTATATAATTGGGGACCTAAGATTCTTATGTTCATCCCGGTATTTTGTGCTGGGAGTGTTTACTGCCACCAAGTTGCAAGCGTTGTGCGAGCAAAACCTGAGCCAATCGCTTGGCCTTGCGGGCCAGGTGACTTCCACGCTCCTCGCAGCCAGGGTTGGACTCTGCCAGTGTTGGAACTATCGGGATGATTGAAATGCTATTTTGGTCGATTTTGATGGTTAATACATGTTAATACCTATTAAAGGATGGTCTGGGGATGATAAACGATGATAAATGGGATGATAAAATATACAAGCCGTTTCTGGTCTTGTATTATTTGCGACTCAGGCAACGGTTTTTTAATCCCACCGATTTGTGGGAAGTCTGGGGGTTGGGACGGGCCCATCGCCTCTTTTTATTTTCTAGGCTTGAGTCTTGAGTAACTAAGCCTATTACAAAATATTACAAAAATCAAACAGCGCAATAGAACATTATCTACCTTCTATGCATTCTTTTCCCGTTGAACATGCGGGATTCCATTGCTATACTTGATTTCTAGAGAATCATCTTATCAGGTCCCCACGTCCGTATCTGCATGAATTGTCGCTTGCATTAAGCGATTTCCAGTCCTCTGCCTTCTCGCGAACGTGTCGTTCAACCAGCACCTTTCCAGGCACTTTCGGAAACGACCAGTTGATTTTGAGACATACCCAAGTAGCGCCCCAATGTGGAGCTCGTCTGATCTTGTCTGCTTGTTGACTTTCCAGAACCAGAATAGCCATAGCAACTGGAAGCTCTGCGTATGCTGCCTCTGTGCTTGGTGACGGGAGGTCGTATTCATCATCCTACGATGGTGCTGGTCATGCCGTCATCGTGTGACTGGTCATGCCGTTCTCTGGTAAAATAGGCTACCCCAAAATGGTCCAATTCTCCGTGGCTCCATGGCAGTTCACGTCAGTTTACCATATCATGTTCCATCATGTTCCCTGTAAAGAAGGAGCTTTTCCAATGGTTTTCCATATTAAAAATGGTCAAACATGGTCGAAGTTCACCGTCCTCAGAATCGCCCATATTTTCCTGCTCCACCTGGCGGGTTGAACTGTGGCAGCTTCAACAGATCACACTAACACAAACTACAACCATAGATCCATATAGATCCATATAGATCCGTATAGATCCGTATAGATCCGTATAGATCCGTATAGATCCGTGTAGATCCATATAGATCCAGAATCTAGATCCTAGAAATACCATGAAACACCTAGAAGCAGCCTCCAGGTGCCGTACAGCATGGCGCGTCGACTCCAGGACATCCTGATGGCCATCTGGAGCGGGGAAAGATCCGATGATACCGTTGGAACTGTTGTTGTTTCTATTGGTTCCTATATGTTCCTATGGCTTTCGGATGTCTTTTGATTTTTTTTCATCATTACAAACGATGTCATTTTGTTGAAATTGGTGACGACCGTCACACATTGTACTATGATGCAGTTGTCTGAAAATCTCAGCTTCATTCCACAACTTTCACTGGCGTTTTAAGGGTAAATCTGCAGGAAACCAATGGTTTATCAACCTAACACGGTAGTATCCTTATTTTTTCCTGATAGTCAGTTGGATTTGTCTGAAAATAGGGTACCCCAACAGCACCCCGTGGTTTATCATAATTTTCCCCATTGGAAAGGCCAAATTTGGGTATTGATCTTCCGGGTGCAGGGCCCGACTCCTGTGCATGCATCACCTCAGCCTTCAGGCGTCGCACCTTGCAATCGGGTCATTCTATCAACCTTCCACGTGAATATATACATGTGCGCCTGCTATATAATATGTATATATATACATATATATATATATATATATGCATATTCGGGGGCATATATAAATAAATAAATACATACATAAATAAATAAATACATTTATTTATAACACACACACACATATATATATATATAAATACATATATATATATACACATACACACACACACCGTAAATCATGTGTGTGTGCGCATTTGAATTTGCAACTGCCACAACTGTCCAAATCTTCCAAGTATCCTCCCATCCACCATGGCACCTCGACCTCATCTGCTGGGCGCTTGTTCTCTAAGGTGGCCACCTGCCCAGCAACTCACCAGCGGGAAGGCGCAACGGGTCAGCCCCGTGGAATCGCAAAATCCAATGGAAAATCTGTGAAAATCGTCAATAAATCCGAACTAAATGAAGGTTTATGGCCGGGAAAATTAACGGACTAAACTTACTAAACGGGTGATTTTCCGTGATTTTCCATTGGCGTGTTTGATTGCAGGAGGGGTAAGTTGTTCATTTAGGTTGCTCCCAATGATCTTTGATAGAATCACAACTCTCACTGCAGGCGGAAGTTCAGCTGCTCCTTAGACTTTGTGCTAAGGCTGTAGAGTACAACCTGGCTCTTGTACAAATAAAAAGACTCCGAAACCTTCCGCCCAAGTGAAGCAGTGAGGCTTCAATGCCCCTTGCCACGCCTGATGCTTCCACTTGGACAAGTCATGCCTGCGATATTTGGCATCATGTTCCCATTAAATCCATTAAAATCAATGGCTCAATAACAAAATGTGGGTATGGGTTAACCTTCAACCCTCATGGGGACTTCACCATTTTATGTCGCCCCAATTTTGATCCATACAATGGTTAAAAGTTGAAACCCTCCAGGTGACTTGCAGCGGGCAAATATGGATCTCCAACTGCCAATCTGAAGGCTCCAAATGGCTTCTGGTGAATATGTGATATATTTATATATATATATATACATACACACACGCACATATATATATATATATTTATTTGTTTATTCATTCATTTATTTATTTATATATGTGAATATGGTCAAATGGCTCTGGCTTCATCCTTTCCCACCCAAAAAGACGCAGTTCATCGCGGTTCCACTTTCCTCATCCCAGCCTCAAATTCCTGCATTCCAAGAGTTTAAGTTGTCGCCAAGCTAGCTCCTGGAAGCCATCACGGTGACTCAATCTGGTGGATATTGTGTGGATATATTGGACTGTGGGATCGATGCGGCTCCCAAAAGCATTGGACCAATCTAACTAGAGGGAAATTCTGGGATATGATGGGACTCAAGCTTCTGATGGTTGCCATGCAATAGCATATGATGGGTGCCAAAACCATGGTGCCGACACGGTGGCAGCGCTTGGCATCCCCGGCACCGCACCTCATCATCTTTCGGGGAGCCCTGATGTGGCTGCTCCTGTGCCGAATGGACAAAACCTATGGTTTCTTGATGTCCCTGGTAATTTAAGCATTTTAAGCGGCAGTTGAAGATCATTTATGCACTAGATCATTCGGAGCCACCTCAAAAACGACCTTTGAGACCATGAGTTGATCTCCCAAACCCTGCAGCCTCGCTGGCCGCTTGCGTCAACATGTCCAGTTCATCTCGCATCTGCATCATCTGCATATGAGCCGCCTGGCGCCCAAGCGGTCGGAAAACATAGGAAATCACAACAAACATCATCGGGAGATCTTGGTTTTTGAAGCTGCACTTCAATGGCTTCGAAAAGTCATTGAATTTTCACTCCAGCATACCCGTTGGTACACTAACATCACTAACTTGCCGATGCACCCTTCAATTTACCCATTTCCCGTCCTGGATGAGGGTTTCAATTGGACCGAATGGTACCATTTATTTCCCCTGCACACATCTTGCCACAAGCCAGGCCTCTACTCCGGTAAGGCCTCAGACGACGGCTAGATCCAACTGATCCAACTGATCCATTGACTGAGGCCGCCACATGACTTCGTCACCGCATCCTTCTCTTTCCTGGATTCCATCACTATCCCACTGTCCGGGGGTGAGGGGATTCCAGGGGACCCCAGGGGACCCCAGGGGCTCCACAAGCCTCGTCATTTCCAAACGTTTCCGCAGCTTCTGGCAGCTCTGCCGCTTGATTTCAAGCTCTCGACGCAGTAGGTCGACTCCTGGGAGGGGTCGATTTGTTAATCAGCTTGGTCTTCAATTGGAGAAGTAATTTTATGATTCCACATTTTTCCCCACCTGCCAGGTGAGGGTTGTTAGATTTTATGTCAGTTGCCTCCTCCTCCTGCCGCCTCCTGCCTCCTGCCTCCTCCTCGTCCTCCTTGTCGTCCTTGTCGTCCTCGTCGTCCTCGTCGTCCTCGTCCAACTGCGACCCGCGATCCACAGTGTTCGCTGCCGGACCTCAACCACGACCATCCACGCCCAGTGTTCCCTGCCGGACCTCAACCACGACCATCCACGTCCAGTGTTCCCTGCCGGACCTCAACCACGACCATCCACGCCCAGTGTTCCCTGCCGGACCTCAACCGCGAGTATCCCCGCCCAGTGTTCCCTGCCGGACCTCAACCACGACCATCCACGCCCAGTGTTCCCTGCCGGACCTCAACCGCGAGTATCCACGCCAAGTGTTCCCTGCCGGACCTCATGTAGGATGATAAAATGTCAGATAGAGTGCCAGAAGATTTGCCAGGTAGAATGCCAGAAAATATGCCAGAAGATATGCCAGATAGATATGCCAGAAGATATTCCAGAAGATATGCCAGATAGAATGCCAGATAGAATGCCAGATAGAATGCCAGAAGATATGTCAGAATATATGCCAGAAGATATGCCAGATAGAATGCCAGATAATATGCCAGAAGATATGCCAGATAGAATGCCAGATAGAATTCCAGAAGATTTGCCAGATAGAATGCCAGAAAATATGCCAGAAGATATGCCAGATAGATATGTCAGAAGATATGCCAGAAGATATGCCAGAAGATATGCCAGAAGATATGTCAGAATATATGCCAGAAGATATGTCAGATAGAATGCCAGAAGATATGTCAGAATATATGCCAGAAGAATGCCAGATAGAATGCCAGAAGATATGTCAGATAGAGTGCCAGAAGATATGCCAGATAGAATGCCAGAAGATTTGCCAGATAGAATGCCAGAAGATATGTCAGAAGATATGCCAGAAGATATGCCAGATAGAATGCCAAATAGAATGTCAGAAGATATGTCAGATAGAATGCCAGAAGATTTGCCAGTAAGAAAATGTATAAAGGTCATGGTGGGGATCACACGAAGTAAAGTAATTTTCATCTAATTGCCACGCATTTCCCCATCATTCCCGGTAGCGTATAAAGTATGGCAATGATTGGCTTAGAGTGAAGCTTGAGACATCCACATTGCCAAGTTCTGCCCAAATTGGGTTCCTGTCAAATCTTGCAGTCCTGCAGTTTCATCGCCCATCTTGAGATGCGCGTCTGCTTGAGACGAAGTAGAGCTACTCTAAAATTCATGGATGGGTCTTGGCTAAGGTGGGTGTTGAATGCACCTTTTCCATCCGTTTCCATCCGTTTCGACTGATGCCATATGGCCAGTGTTGCCTTGTAATCATGGCTGATGCTCCTTTGCGTTCTGTTCTTATGAGCCAAGAACAAAGCAATGGTTGGGCCGAAGTCCTTCTCCTCCTGCCTACACATGTTTTCCATGTTCTTTCAATTCATGGGGCCAAGAATGAACTTGGATAGGTCAACCGTTACCAGCTAGATTGAGTCCTTTCAATTTCTCCTTTCAGGATCAGTTCAGATTTCCTTCCATTGGTGAAAAACGTGGACTGTCGGTCATGCACCTACCCTCGAAGCGAGGGGGCGTCTACTCAGCCCTGCACTCGGACGGCCTTGGACGATCAACTCTCATCAACTTACCGCTTCCGAGGCCCTAACTCGAAACTTCTCTTCTGCGACGTGTGCTTCTGAAAGCGCCGAAGAAGCTTCCTGGCGGCGGCCTCGCACCCTGTGGTTGGAGATGGTTGGAGACGCCAAGTTGTTACATCGGAAACCATGAAAATCTTTAGAATCTGAAAAACATCAAGATGTTGTTTTTGTGAGCTCTAGTCTCGCAAGACAGGGCACCCATCCACAAGTGTAATCTCACCTCTTTAGGCATAACTACATCCATGTACAATGATGCCATGCTGGTCATGCCGTACGCATATTTCAGCAATGCATGTTAACTTCAGTCGTATTAGTTCATCTCACTGTTCATGTCACATGTTTCTCACATCAACAATGTGGTATAGTAAACTATCGGGGTTTATTACGGTATACCCCTGGAACTGGGACGATGTAAGATAGCCTGCACAATTAGTTAACGGTATGGGTTATTATCAAAACATATATACTTCAGGGTTCGTTAATGGAATGCTTCGTGGTTAGGTCATTTTTTTGTTTAATGGGATGGTTACCTATGAACTAACCACAGTAATTAAGAACCATTAAGTGATCCTTAACTAACCATGAGCTAAATCAGCCGATGGCACCTCTAAGGCAGCTGTTCGCTCCTGGCGGTGGATATCAATGGCAAGTGGGAAATTTTGTGGGAAATTATGGGAAATCGATCAAACATCTATTCATGAAATTAAAGGGACAATTTCATAACAGTTCATGGTCATTGATGGAACATCATTCAAAAAATAGGCGTAGCTGGGCTGTGATGTCCAGCAAAATATCAGAGCAAGCAGCGGGACATTGAGCCAATATTGATGTTATCTGCTCTTATCAAGTCATTTGTAAGAAATTGAACAGATACAAGAAGTTCTCAGGAAACAACGAGATATGGCTGAGATAGGCAAGATCAACAGCTCCGGTGTGAAGAAAGATCAACACAAAGTCGTGCACATTATGTATCATTATGTGTGATCAATGTCTATGTAGACAGGATAGAAGTTAGAAGGCACCAATGTTGTCAGCATCCTGGCCCAAAACAAACAACATTGCGCTTCAAGCACTTCAAGAACTTTGTGTAAATGGTGCACTTGGATCTAATGTGACATTGCCAAGTGGAAACAGTTGGAAACTTGGAAGCTCCAAAATGCCCATCTGTCCAACCATGCCCAACCTATCAACCATTTCTCTCTCCATCAAACCCATGTTTTCTCAGTCCGGGTCTCGTCGAGACCCGGGTGGTCCTCCTGGCACTGCCGTAGCTCTCGGATGAGCTCTTCGACTCCTGGCGCTGATCAATGTCTCTGTGTCTATTCAATCCAATCTCGTCATATCTCGTCATATCTCGTCATATTTCATCATATCTCTAATCAAATCAAACGTATCTCAAATGTTTGAATTTCTATCCAATCTATATATATATATATATCCAATCGAATCGATCTATCTATCTATCTGTCTATCTATCTATCTATCTATCTTGCTATCTATCTATCTTGCTATAAATGATGATCACTGTCACCCAATGGGGCACCTGAAGCGTCAGAAGCGTCAGCAGCTGCAGTTGGCAAAAACGAACTGCTGATGGTCGACTCGGAACTGGGGCTCCTGGGCCGGCGGTGGAACTGCTAACTAGTGCTAACTACTTGGGGCTGTTACTACTTGGGGCTGTTTTCAATGGATATGACATGATAATCATGATATAACTGATATAACTATGGTATACACCTCCATAAGTTGGGATTAACCATTGCAGTTATGGTTGGAAGAAGGCCACTTATTAGGCGAACTGCACCCGCAACCTGGGGGTTGGAAGACTACTTTCTAAAAAGTACAGATTCTCAGGGTCAAACTGAGACTTGAAAGACTCAGAAAACCACAAAGATCCAGAGAGGTTAGATATTTTCACAGATCCTGGACATTTTGACAGAGCTTTCTCGCAGAAGACTTTTGTTAAACTATGGGTTTTTTTGAGGCACTGTCAATTTGAACCAGTAAACCATCCCATACCACACCCACATCAGCTCCACTCTTCTCCGGCCCCGGGATACCCAGGGATGGGGTAACGGTGAACCACTGGCCACTTACTGGGGCGCCCGCCTCCGCCGTTGCGCCTCTGATAGTTCTCGGCCTCAAGAGGCCATGGCCAAAGGGTTTTCGAAATGTCCATGCTTCGCATCGCACATGTCTGTTGTCTATAGTTTACCAGAGGGTATATAATAATATATAATGATATTGGAATCTCTGGGATATGATGGGAATATAACTTGGAGCTAACCAATGGTATCTTAATGATCTATCTGGGTAAATTATAATAATTCACTAACATGCCTGAATTGTTGGGCCATTTGGGGATGATTCCCCTTATTAACCATGATTTCCAGTGAGGGAGAACAGTGAGGTCGTTATAATTTACCCAGATTATGTGTATAATTTCTGCAAATTGATTTTGGGATATTTTGGGAGTAGCCTCCTTAGCTCCTCCAAGGCCTAATGGCAACATAGGATATGTATGTGGCTGTCGCCTGTGCAACGATCATTCGCCAACAGCATGTCATGACCACAAAGTTGAACTATATAGATGTGTCAATGTGGCATTTACAACATCTGGATCATATTTTCTCAATGGCCAATCATATCCAATCATCAATCGCTCAAATCTGTATCTGTTTGCAACCCATGTTTACAAACACATGTTTAGTAGTTTAGCAGTTCCCATTTCAAACTTCCAGCCGCCACACTGGGAAACCAAAGGCACCCCTCCATGTTTCCAAGAACTTGTATCCCTTTTGTCTCCGCAACTGCGGGTTTTTCGGTTGAGAGATGAGGCACCAGCAGCTCCAGCTTCCTGGATTTTTCAGAACATCCAGGGCACAGGTGTTGGTCCGCCACTGTTTCGACGGCGGGGGCGGATCTTCCAGGAAGGGTCAGCAATCTCCGGCCTGAAATGACACCCTGAAATCAGGGCTGATAGCACCATGGGATCCCCGAAATCATAGAATATCGCAGGATCTCACGGGCGAAGGCACTTCGAGTTGATCCATGATTTGCACCAACTTTCCATCTGGTCCATCCACCAAACTTGCGCCTCACCAAGATCTCAAGATTTCTCCAGGCCATGACGCTTGATCTCTTGGCACAGTACCTCATAGATCTCCTTCGCATCAGGCTGCAGCATTGGGAAGCAATGGCCCTCCTGGTGCAGCAGCACCTTGGGATCTTGGTAATAGTCCTCGACCTTTTTGGAGCTGCACCAGCCCTCCCTGGCGTACAAATAGTAGGGTGAGGCCTTGCCAAAAATGTGGATCGTGCCTCAGGTGCTGCAACTGAGAAGGCTTTCACTAGAGATCCAGGTTTCAGATAGGTTTACCACCAGATTCACATAGATTCACTATCACCACTTATGCCTCCTAGGGACGATGTGGCAGGCTTTCCACAAATAAACTATCATAGCGATGATCTCGGATGTGCATTCCTGCCACGGCAAGGTGCAGCAACTGACCCATTGTCACATGGAAGGACCGTTGCCTTCACTAAATCTAGCAAGTCGGCCAAATAGAGAAATAGAGCCAGCATGAGCCAGCGCATTGCATGGTTGGGCGAACATGAACACTGATAGGACATGCCCAGGGCTCGAGAAAACAACAGCGAACACCATTCCAAGTAGCAAGTGCTGCAATGAGTCAGTCACGTAATGTCATTTCATAGATTTTTGTGCCGGCGGCTGCCCCAGATGCCTTCAAAAAAGATACTCAGCTTCCAAGGAATGGAGCGACCTTCTTTCCAAAGAAGTCCAATAAGGAAGTGCATCATGATACACCCTGGCGCAGCGATACGCTGGGATACCCTCGCATCTGCTCCGTCATCATGACACTAAAGGTGACCTATGTGATCATAAAACCATTCAACATCCTGACGCGGATCATCATCATCATCATCATCATCATCATCATCATCATCATCACCATCACCATCACCATCACCATCACCATCACCATCGTCGTCATCATCATCATCATCATCATCATCACGAGACTGTTCAGCTCAGCTCTCAGAGAAACAAACACAGCTTCACACTGCATCAATTTTTTGACCGAAGAGTTTTGGCCAATGGAAACTCTACCAGACATTTCTTCCTGCAACTTATCTACCTTGTTGGGGTTAGGCAAAGATCTCTTGAGGTTAGCAATTTAGCTTGTAAGGGTTAGTAGTGCATCTCTCATCATCATCATCATCATCATCATATCAGAATGTTGCCCCTTTATGTGCTCTAGGGGTCTTCCATCCTGCCTTGAGAGAATCCAATGACAACATCAAAGGGCCCCTCTTCTTCTAGTCTTTGCTGTAGTTTTTCCACCTTATCTTCAATCTCGACCTCGGCTTCAACGTTTCTGCAGGTCAACGTGTCAAAGCAAGTTATCAACCACGGCATAGGTTATGCCAGGATACTGTCTCCACAACGACTTCTTTGTCAAACTGCTTTTCTATCATGCTTCTTTCCTGTGATGTGTTCAGAAACTTGCGAACTCGGACTCGCTCATTTCATCCTATTTTTGAACCGGTCTCCGGGGCAGAACCACAAGGAACATACTTCCACTTCCAGCATCGGCTTCCAGCCCTTTGATAAAGTCCTAATTACAAGGCTCGCAAGGCCAATCCTGTCCTTGGGGCAGTGGTAGATGTCTTCATACCAGGACCAGATCTGCTGTCCTCGGTCCATGGGTCACTTTTTGAGGCAACCTCATGGGCAGCACACCTTTCTTACAAGAGGCATGATCACAATTTGGTCTGGTGCAAAGTCATCGTTTGAGCCAGTTACCAACCCTCAAAAGGGAATCGTTTGGCATGAAAAATGCTAAACAACAGTTACTTGTGGATCCTTGCTGTGAGCTTCTTGGTGCCCCATATTGAGCCCCTCTTATGTCCGCTTTCCCGGAAGGAAACACGCCTAAAAGCTGACCATGGTTTCCTGAAAAAAACCCTTCAATCTATTGGTTAACTTGCCATCCGAGGAGATCCAAGGCGCGTTTTCCCACCAAGGCTTTTTCAAAGTCACTGAGGTGTACCGAAACGTCCCAGGGATGCTGCACTGTTCCCTCAGCAAAGGTCCATTCGGCTGTCTCCTCCATGAAATCTGAGGATACGTCAGTGATTAGCACATGGGGATGGGTGAAAAATGCTAAATAATGAAACCAGGTCAATAATGTCAAAGCATGTCAAAACATCTCAAAATCCATCATGCATAAATCAGTGATATGTTTTGCATTTCATTGGCCCTTGAGCTGTATGATATTTGGGGGGACGACGAAAGTTGGATTTTCCAGGGCTGCGTTTGATCACCCGCGGGTATGGCTGTGTTTGATGAGAGCGGACCTGTTTACCTTTAGAACATCTATGTTTTTCAAGAAGTCACGATAGGGTATGGTAGGTGGATAGAACATCTCTCAGGTTTTCTCATCGGTGCAGCATAGCCTGCCTTGCCCAACATGGCCGCCAGAGGTCCACACTGGTAGCGGATCATTTCTTTACAGGTCAAACTGCCTGCACCAAAAGAAAGGTGGCAAAATACAAACCATTCCTTTTTGGTGGCACCAAACACGTAATCATCCCCTTCCCACAGGCTCGACGGATATTTTGCTAGACTTTCTTGAGGAGAGGAAACGCGCACGAAGCTTGAAATGAGCCAAAGAACAAATTGCACCTGCCTGCTAGTGCCAAGATTCGAATCTTCCTCTCTTTGATTGGCCTCAAATGAAAAATTACACAAAACATGCCGTTGAGGATTGCTATCTTTGCGACCGTAGTAGCTGCAGCAGCATTGACAGTGCCAAAAAGCTTGGTGTTGCATCCGTTTAACTGTCTCACTCAGGCATGTTTTTTACGGCAAGAACATGAACATGCCAACCAATGAGCAGTAATGAACAGTAATGAACAGTAATGAACAGTAATGAACAGTAATGAACTGATGATGATGATGATGACGACGATGGTGATGGTGATGGTGATGGTGATGGTGATGGTGATGGTGGTGGTGATGATGTTGTTGTTGTTGATGATGGGCGATTTATCCCTGATTTACTAAGTAGGACATTTGTGTGGTGTCAAGATGCTCGCAGGCTGGCGCATCCGCGATTGCTGATGCAACTGCTTTGCGCATCAACTCCTTCCCTTGAGCCTGGCTCGACGCAGCAAATTCACACAGCAACTGGAAGATTCATGCTGATGTCAATGATAATGTATGTTTAATTACATCTATATCAGCATTTTTCTGATCTACGAATATACAACTCACGAAAATGCCTGCCCGTTCAGACTTCGTCAAAGGGAACTGCCATGAACAAAAGGACATCAACGGACATCAACCAACTAAGAACTGCCAACATTCGCCAACAGCCACCCAATGCCATCAACCATCAATAGCCATCCAGAACCATCTGCTCCCTTCCTGCACAGTGACCCAGCCGGTCTTAGGACCAGATCCATCCAGCAGCTGGTAATGCAAACGTGACCCGTCAACGACAGGTTCCATTTCCTGGACCGTCGCTCCAGTCCTTTGTTGTGCAACGTGGATGGGTTGCTAAACGCAGGGATTTTCGGGAATGATCCATAATCACTAGTAATAATCACCCCATTCCCCCATTCCCATCCATTCCCTACTAAGCACCAGTAAGTTTATCCAATCTTAATCCATCTGAGTTCCAAGGTACTGGTAAACGGACGCTTGACCTTTTGTGACAGCCAGAACACATCCAGGACTTGTGTTGCTAGACCATGTTCTCACGAATCAACCAAGAAGTGACTTTCGAGGAAACCGGGGCTTGCATCACAAATTCTACAGGGTTTTTCTGTAGAATTTACCGTTTAACCAATCCTGAGAACACCTGGGGTGCCCTATGAGGGAATACTGTATGAAGGCCCCGAACCCGCAAAGTCAAGCCGTCAAAGCTCGCGAGCCGTTCTGGTAACAGCTCGGACGTGAGCTCGCAGCCTTCGGGCAAAGGCAACCCCCTACAACCAGGGATGACCTGGGGATTCTCACCTCTAGTGACTCTAGTGAGTGAGATTATCAGAGGGCGTAGATATGCACATAGAACATGGGAGGCAAAGACGGCAAGAAGTTGAGTTGAGGGTCATGTTTCCGGTCACCAAACCGTGCCTTGTCTCACAAGTAGCCCACCCTTGTCAACGCCGCCACAGGCCATCCAGACTTTCTCTGAAAGGACAAGCAGCCTGAGACACAAATACGTCTTCAGAGGCACTGTACCTCTGAAATCTCCAAAAAAATCGTGATTGCAACCCCCTTATTCCTTTTGTGTGGAAGCCCACAGCATCCATGGCCGAGTGGCTGTTTGGTGCCAGTGGACAGGCTGACCCATCCAGTTGGAGGCCCTTCTCCCAGTAGTAGCCGGTACTGCAGTCGGTCGCCCTCCTAAAAACTTGGGGCCAGGAAACTCCAGTTCATCACACTTGAGAGGTCCCCTGACATGGAACTTCCCCAATCCCCCAAAAAATGCACTGGAAGATATTCCAGTATATGATTCGTGTGCTGAGAAAATTGTTTTTCTTCCCATCGTGTCATCATTTTTTCCCAGATGTTCGTGATGATTCGTGCCAGATTGTTGCGGACGGCAAAGGCGATCAGCTAGTGAATGGCGCGCAACCGATGGCTTGTCAAGGTGTTCATCATGGATGCCGGCGTTCGACTTTGCTTGTTCTTTTTGGAGCGTTCTGCTTTTCTTATCAGCATCGAGTTCAGGCCTCCAGACTTGCGGCGGTGTGAGTGAACCATTGAGATCCATCGAGGGAAGCAGCTTTCCTCATCGACGAAAGTTGGGATCCACGCAAATGCCGAAGACATCCAACTTAGAGGACTGCAAGGCTGCAGTAGCTGAGAAGGCTAATACGCGCAACAAATTCTTATAGAGCGCCTGCAGGGTCTTGGCCCAGCATCACATGGCTCCTGAAAAGTGTAAGTCACTTAGTTCCTGGGCAATTAGGAGCGAAAGTCTTAAAGTAAATTACTATTAAACCATGTTAAAACCACAGAGCAAATACCCATTCACCATTCATACTTTCCATTCCTGTCCTAGATTAAACGCATTTTGTACAACCTCCTCCTTTTGGGGCCCTTCACGTGACCTGGCCTCCTGAATCTTCTCAGGTAAAGGGATGCTTCGCTGAGAGAGCAGCTCTTTCACCAAAGGCTCACAGGATTTTTCGAAGGGAAGCAAGTTCAGGGGATATTGCCTCAGCCGTCCATCAATGGATGGGTTTAAGGAAAAACCAACAGGAAACCACAGATTTTCCAAGCTTGGGAAGAGGTTGGTATGTCATCTCTTGAGGCAACAGTGGCTTAACTTCAACTATGGATGAAGACCGAAGCAGGGCAGCCCCCCAAAAAGGAACGCCATGGTCATGTGCTTTTGTCCTGATCAATACTTTTGCTCCCTCGACTAAAATCTCAACGTATCTCAACATCATCCCCTCAACTTGACATCGTGTTTTCGCAATTAAGCACCCACCAGGTATTTGGCTACATACTACTAGTAGCCTGACAAGATGTGACAACCAATTTCCAACGAAGTAAGGTTTCAAGATTGGCTTCAAGATGTTCAAGCCGATTCAAGCCTCCAATGGGACAACAATGCAAAATTCCCTCGCAGCCGAGGGCCCGTTTCTTTTTTGTGTGTCCCTTCATGTCTCTTAAAGTCATCAAATGATTGTGAAAAAAAGGTGAATCATGATAATCATGGGGCACCTCAGGCACTGCAACTAGAGGCAAATGATAGAGGCGGACCTATATAATAATGCATCTTTGTATCTTTGTGTCTTTGTATCTATCTATCTATGTATGTATGTAGGTATGTATGTATGTATTTATGTATTTATACATGTTTATATTATATGTAAATATATAATAATATATATGTGTATATACATATATGTATAAGGAGGTTCTCAGTGTCGAGTGCATTTCTACTGAAATTTGGGAGGTTCTAAGTGTTGGCTCCAAAATTTTGGAAAACAACTAAGTGTAAGTCGGTCACTATATATATATATAGTATATATATATAGATAGATAGATTCCCCCAAGGATGGGTTGCCCATTGGGAAAAACAATGGGCCCATCACCTTAAAAACACCCAGGTCACATCTAGCCCCTGGACATTTTACACTTTGCCATGCTACAAAATGGGCCCATTTCTAGATGATTTATATGATCAAAAATGGAAATCTTCCATAGGAAACCCTTCGATATATGTGGATATTTATGGATGATTCTCCGATTCAAAGCTCCATTGAGTTTGGGGATTTCCATGGAAATCCAAGGTGCTGCAAGCACTTCTTGGCGCTTCCTGGATCCGCTTCGATCTGCAGTCGGATGCGCAAGCCGCAGCCTGAGAGCTGAACTGAGGCAACCATGTCGATGACCAAGCGCAGGGCGAACCTGAAGACAAGCTGATGGCAGGAGCTGTGTACGGGCTGATGAATTTCTTATGATTTTTGTTTCCCCTGTTGAAGTAGCACCTCCTGATGCGTTTTGGATCATTTCGGAGGGGGCGAAACACTCATAGATCATAATAGATCTATTTTGGAGATGTCTCGCTGACCAAGATTAAGATCGAGACATGTACAGAAGATGGCCTGAAGGGTCCGACTTTTTGGGGAGATGAAATTATCCTGAGGGTCCAGGGATTGATTTTTTTCAATCCAGAATTTTTTCAATCCGGATTGAAACGTAGAAAATATTGTTTTTTTTCAATAATAATATTGAAAAAAACAATATTTTATTGAAAAAACAATAATTATTGAATTTCTTTTTATTGAAAAAATTCAATAATTATTGAAAAAATGAAGTCTTAATGATTTTGTTTGTAGATATATTATTTCGAGATACCTGCAGCATTTATCTAACTGCTGATGTGTGCATCCAGGTTCGAGTATGAAGTATATATGTATGGCAATTGGTTTCTGCAGCCCTTTCTTTGGCTCAATCAGTTTTTTTTGCAAATTCTGAGGCTTGAAAAAAAGCCATGGAGAAAGACCATGGGAAAGGAGGCCTGGAAAAAGGCCAAGGCACCCGAGGTGGAGCTATCAGGAAGCCTAGCTTGGACATGAAAGAGGAAGAATTGTCTCAATTCTTTGACGACATAGTGAGAAAGAAAGGAGCAAAGGCTTTTGATTTTGGGGTTTACAATACCCTTGATGTTGCTCAGGCACGATGTGCTCAGGGTTTAATGGAGTGCCAAGCGTGGCTCAGAGGCATCTTGCCACTGTGTGATGGCATTCCCAAACCCCTACCATTGAAGAAGCAGGTACTCAGGTTCACTACATTGAATGAGACTGACATGAAGCACAGTGTTTGGGCAAGTTCCATTAGCAGCAAAATAATCACCCTTTTTAATCATTGGCGAAGGCTGAAAAATAATCCTGAGAGAAGGAGGCAATGTCTGAAGAAAGCTACAGAGGTAGAAGCCGAGAGGCTTGGAAATTTGCTGAAGCTGGAGCCAGGGCATGGGGAGGCATGGAGAAATGCCAGCAGTGCCAGCTCGAATGTGGAGGCCTGCAAAAAGGCCAAGCAGGCCAGCCTGGAGCCTGAGGAGCCATGCAAAGGTGCCATGGAAGAACAAGAGGAGGCTTGTGACAAGGCCAGTGACATGGAAGTTGACAAATCTTGGCTTGGAGATGATAGGATTTCTGAAGTGTCCATTGATTCGAAAGGATTCCCAATGATTTTGAAAACACCTGAAGCATCAAGGGAAGGATCAGGCGAGGCAGCAGCCAGCAGTGGCTTGAAACAAGGCCAGTCACCACCCACTGCCTTGAAAGGCTTAAGATCACCCAAAACACCGAAGGCAAGAGGCTCGAAACAAGGCCCCTCATCACCCAAAGCAGCTGGGGCAAGGGGCTTGAAACAAAGCCAGTCACCTTGTGAAGGCAGATTTCTTCACAAACTGGACTTTGTGAAGGCAGAATTCTTCACAAACTTGACTTTGTGAAGGCAGATTTCTTCACAAACTTGACTTTGTGAAGAATTTTGCCTTCACAAACTTGACTTTGTGAAGGCAGAATCCTTCACAAACTGGACTTTGTGAAGGCAGAATCCTTCACAAACTTGACTTTGTGAAGGAAGGATCCTTCACAAACTGGACTTTGTGAAGGCAGAATTCATCACAAACTTGACTTTGTGAAGGCAGAATCCTTCACAAACTTGACTTTGTGAAGGCAGAAATCTTCACAAACTTGACTTTGTGAAGAATTTTGCCTTCACAAACTTGACTTTGTGAAGGCAGAATCCTTCACAAACTGGACTTTGTGAAGGCAGAATCCTTCACAAACTTGACTTTGTGAAGCCAGAATCCTTCACAAACTTGACTTTGTGAAGGCAGAATCCTTCACAAACTTGACTTTGTGAAGGCAGAATCCTTCACAAACTTGACTTTGTGAAGGCAGGACCCTTCACAAACTTGACTTTGTGAAGGCAAAATCCTTCACAAACTTGACTTTGTGAAGGCAAAATCCTTCACAAACTGGACTTTGTGAAGGCAGAATCCTTCACAAACTTGACTTTGTGAAGCCAGAATCCTTCACAAACTTGACTTTGTGAAGGCAGAATCCTTCACAAACTTGACTTTGTGAAGGCAGAATCCTTCACAAACTGGACTTTGTGAAGAATTTTGCCTTCACAAACTTGACTTTGTGAAGGCAGCATCCTTCACAAACTGGACTTTGTGAAGGCAGAATCCTTCACAAAGTTGACTTTGTGAAGGCAGAATCCTTCACAAACTGGACTTTGTGAAGGCAGAATCCTTCACAAACTGGACTTTGTGAAGGCAGAAACCTTCACAAACTTGACTTTGTGAAGAATTTTGCCTTCACAAACTTGACTTTGTGAAGGCAGAATCCTTCACAAACTGGACTTTGTGAAGGCAGATTTCTTCACAAACTTGACTTTGTGAAGGCAGAATTCTTCACAAACTGGACTTTGTGAAGGCAGAATCCTTCACAAACTGGACTTTGTGAAGAATTTTGCCTTCACACACTTGACTTGTGAAGGCAGAATCCTTCACAAACTGGACTTTGTGAAGGCAGAATCCTGCACAAACTTGACTTTGTGAAGGCAGAATCCTTCACAAACTTGACTCTGTGAAGGCAGAATTCTTCACAAACTTGACTTTGTGAAGGCAGAATCCTTCACACACTTGACTTGTGAAGGCAGAATTCTTCACAAACTGGACTTTGTGAAGGCAGAATCCTTCACAAACTTGACTTTGTGAAGGCAAAATCCTTCACAAACTTGACTTTGTGAAGGCAGATCCTTCACAAACTTGACTTTGTGAAGGCAGAATCCTGCACAAACTTGACTTTGTGAAGGCAGAATTCTTCACAAACTTGACTTTGTGAAGGCAGAATTCTTCACAAACTTGACTTTGTGAAGGCAGAATCCTTCACAAAATGGACTTTGTGAAGGCAGAATTCTTCACAAACTTGACTTTGTGAAGGCAGGATCCTTCACAAACTGGACTTTGTGAAGGCAGAATCCTTCACAAACTGGACTTTGTGAAGGCAAAATCCCCCACAAACTTGACTTTGTGAAGGCAGAATCCTTCACAAACTTGACTTTGTGAAGGCAGAATTCTTCACAAACTTGACTTTGTGAAGGCGCAAACTTGACTTTGTGAAGGCAGAATTCTTCACAAACTGGACTTTGTGAAGGCAGAATTCTTCACAAAGTGCACTTTGTGAAGTCACAATCCTTCACAAACTTGACTTTGTGAAGGCAGGATCCTTCACAAACTTGACTTTGTGAAGGCAGGATCCTTCGCAAACTTGACTTTGTGAAGGCAAAATCCTTCACAAACTGGACTTTGTGAAGGCAGAATCCTTCACAAACTTGACTTTGTGAAGGCAGAATTCTTCACAAACTTGACTTTGTGAAGGCAGAACCCTTCACAAACTGGACTTTGTGAAGGCAGAATTCTTAACAAACTTGACTTTGTGAAGGCAGAATCCTTCACAAACTTGACTTTGTGAAGGCAGAATCCTTCACAAACTTGACTTTGTGAAGGCAAAATCCTTCACAAACTGGACTTTCTCGAACGGCCGAAATCCTTCCAAATGACTTTGTGAAGCATTATTATCACAAACTTCGACTTTGTGAAGGCGAATTCCTTCACACACTGGACTTTGTGACGACCCAGAATCCCTGCACAAAACTGACTTCTTCACCAAACTTGAATTTGTGAAGGCAGAATATTCAAAAACTTGACTTTGTGAAGGCAGATCCTTCAAAACTGACTTTTGAAGGCCAGAAGCCTTCACAAACTTCGACTTGTGAAGGCAGAATCTTCACAAAACCTTCTTGACTGGGAAGGCAGAATCCTACAAACTTGACTTTGTGAAGAGACAGCAGAATCCTTCACAAACCTTGGCTTGCTTAAGGCCCGAAATCCTTCACAAACTGGACTTTGTGAAGGCAGAATTCTTCACAAACTGGACTTTGCGAAGGCAGAATCCTTCACAAACTTGACTTTGTGAAGGCAGACTCCTTCACAAACTGGACTTTGTGAAGGCAGAATCCTTCACACACTTGACTTTGTGAAGGCAGAATCCTTCACAAACTTGACTTTGTGAAGGCAGGACCCTCCACAAACTTGACTTTGTGAAGGCAGAACCCTTCACAAACTTGACTTTGTGAAGGCAGAATCCTTCACAAACTGGACTTTGTGAAGGCAGAATCCTTCACACACTTGACTTTGTGAAGGCAGGATCCTTCGCAAACTTGACTTTGTGAAGGCAGAATTCTTCACAAACTGGACTTTGTGAAGCCAGAATCCTTCACAAACTGGACTTTGTGAAGGCAGAATTCTTCACAAACTGGACTTTGTGGAGGCAGAATCCTTCACAAACTTGACTTTGTGAAGGCAGAATCCTTCACAAACTTGACTTTGTGAAGGCAGAATTCTTCACAGCCTTCACAAACTGGACTTTGTGAAGGCAGAATCCTTCACAAACTTGACTTTGTGAAGGCAGAATTCTTCACAAACTTGACTTTGTGAAGGCAGAATCCTTCACAAACTTGACTTTGTGAAGGCTGAATTCTTCACAAACTTGACTTTGTGAAGGCAAAATCCTTCACAAACTGACTTTGTGAAGAATTTTGCCTTCACAAACTTGACTTTGTGAAGGCAGAATTCTTCACAAACTGGACTTTGTGAAGGCAGAATTCTTCACAAACTTGACTTTGTGAAGGCAGACTCCTTCACAAACTTGACTTTGTGAAGGCATAATCCTTCACAAACTGGACTTTGTGAAGGCAGAATTCTTCACAAACTGCACTTTGTGAAGGCAGAACCCTTCACAAACTGGACTTTGTGAAGGCAGGATCCTTCACAAACTTGACTTTGTGAAGGCAGGATCCTTCACAAACTTGCCTTTGTGAAGGCAGAATTCTTCACAAACTGGACTTTGTGAAGCCAGAATCCTTCACAAACTGGACTTTGTGAAGGCAGGATCCTTCACAAACTTGACTTTGTGAAGGCAGAATCCTTCCACCCCCCTAAACTTGACTTTTGTGAAGGCGATTTATTCTTCAAAAAATTGACTTGTGACAAGCAGAATTCTTCACAAACTTGACTTTGTGGAAGGCAGAATTCTTCACAAACTCGACTTTGTGAAGGCAGAATTCTTCACAAACTTGACTTTGTGAAGGCAGAATCCTTCACAAACTTGACTTTGTGAAGGCAGAATCCTTCACAAACTTGACTTTGTGAAGGCAGGACCCTTCACAAACTTGACTTTGTGAAGGCAAAATCCTTCACAAACTTGACGTTGTGAAGGCAGAATCCTTCACAAACTGGACTTTGTGAAGGCAGAATCCTGCACAAACTTGACTTTGTGAAGGCAGAATCCTTCACAAACTTGACTCTGTGAAGGCAGAGTTCTTCACAAACTTGACTTTGTGAAGGCAGAATCCTTCACACACTTGACTTGTGAAGGCAGAATTCTTCACAAACTGGACTTTGTGAAGGCAGAATCCTTCACAAACTTGACTTTGTGAAGGCAAAATCCTTCACAAACTTGACTTTGTGAAGGTCACAGACCTTCACAAACTTGACTTTGCGAAGGCAGAATTCTTCACAAACTTGACTTTGTGAAGGCAGAATTCTTCACAAACTGGGCTTTGTGAAGGCAGAATTCTTCACAAACTTGACTTTGTGAAGGCAGAATCCTTCACAAACTGGACTTTGTGAAGGCAGAATTCTTCACAAACTAGACTTTGTGAAGAATTTTGCCTTCACAAACTGGGCTTTGTGAAGGCAGAATGCTTCACAAACTAGACTTTGTGAAGGCAGAATTCTTCACAAACTTGACTTTGTGAAGGCAGAATCCTTCACAAACTAGACTTTGTGAAGGCAGATTTCTTCACAAACTAGACTTTGTGAAGGCAGAATTCTTCACAA